TGTCACATCATTATTTATTGCTTAATTTAACTTTTTTTTGTATTATTATGAGTATATAATTGTACGTTTTTAAAGGTTTTAAGTTGCTTAGTAAGTTTAAGTTTTGAAATTAATTCAACAAAGTAATGTAATCTTAGGCCTTCAGAAGGAAACTCAAGATGATTTTAATGCATGAGCCTTAAAAGCTTCAAATATATCCTAATTAGTGTTCCATTTTATTTCATTTCAAAAGGTTTTTTTGTCATACACAATCAATTTGGAGGTACTGACTTCGGTATTTCTCATTTTAATATTGATTACTTATTGTTTATAATTATAAATATATGTATCTTATAATGTAAGTTAAGTGCAATGTCAACTTTCACCATGTTTTACACTCATTGCTAATAGAACACTCATTGCTTTCAGTAGATTTTCCTGACGCAAAAAAAACCCATGCCAGTTTCATGTACAACACAACAAATAAAAGAGTATTAATGATGAAGTAAAAGAAGACTTATGAGCCTTGTTCATTGCAGATACTTACTGGCAAATGATCCTTAGAATCGTCCTAGCCCTTGAAACAATGTCCGCTTCCCCCCCTTCAGTTTTGAATTTATTATTTGAAGTTCTTAATCGGTATTTATTAATATAGGATTCTCTGTTACTTTAACCTTTGTATCATTGAGATTTCATATTGGGCTGCAATTTCAATTTCGCACCAATAGATTTGGTCCAGTGAAACCACGAATCTAGCGTCTAAGTTCGTCCCTGTTTTTTGAAATTCCTCACGTAGATTTTGGGCCTTGGATTGGAAAGAAACCTCTTTTTTTCGTTAATTTAATGACTCGGTAATTGCATGTATTTCGTTCAGTGGCAAGCTGAGACGTTACGGTCAGAATATTTCCAATCTTTTTGACCTTTTGAGTGACACAGTAGCTTTCTGAAATAACTTCCAGGTAATCATACACTATGGGCCTTATTCACGAGTTGACAATTTTTATCAAGTTCCCTGAATGTATTTCATTAATTGTTAACTGTTGAATGGGATGGGGCCAGACTATTTATGCAGGCACTGTGCAGCCTTATTTTACTGTCATTTTTTTTGTTAAATATGGCTTTAAACACAAATTTAAAATTACTGATTGAGGCAGACTGGAATTGATTATGAATTAAGTTGCTTTTTCTCTCTTCGCAAGTTCAAAAAATTAAGATTTTACCTAACGTTCAATTCAATATGGCCGACTCGTGAATAAGGCCATGAATATTCTTTTGTCGCGTTTCTAAAATTAAGGATGAATGTTGAAACCTGGCATGACGTCATTAGCCCCATTCTTCAATCCATTCCCTCGCCACGCGAGGAATGCATGGTTTGGGGTTAACCTTGGAAGTAGGGATAAGGGAAACATTATCCTATAAATAATTTAATGGGGTTTAGGTGAGGATTGAACCTGGGTTTGGATTGGGATTAACGCTCACCATAGGATCATTTTAATCAAATGGGTTTGGGTAAAGGATTAACCCTATAGGTTGGGGTAAGAGTCACGGTTAATTTTAGTTTCACCTCTAGCGTTATGTTTAGGCCCCAAAAAAGTCTCCGGTTTCTGGTATGGAGCTTGCCCAAAAAGTGGTGCGGCGACGCGGCTTTTCTTTTCTTTTTTACCTGTTTTTTTTGTTGGGCTTCAAATGTCGGCTGATGACTGCAAATGGTGCCCGACTAGCAGTGGCGTAGCCACCGGGGGGGGGCGTGGGGGGCGACCGCCCCCCCCCCTCCCCCCCCCCCCATGAAACCTTGTCGCCCCCCCCCCCCCCCCCCCCCCCCCACTGAGATTTTGAGTTTCTAAAAAAAAAGTTCATTGATCTAAATCTAAATAGTCGCGAATGATCCACATGATGACCACTGAGAAACGACCCTTCGACCGGCGACCGCGGACCAGTAAGCTGACAACCGGCGTGACATAGCGCATAATGATAATCTAAAATGCGTATTAACACCCACTGCACTGCTCGCTCACACCACGGAACACGTATTATAGACAGGTGGTCCGTGGGTCACACAGTTTCAGTCATCGATATCACGCGAATCGGCCAAGCACAAACTTTTTCCTCCATTCATATAAGCTAAATAATAATAATAGACCAATTAAAATTCCTTGAAATCAGTGGCGTAGCCACGGGGGGGTGGGGGGGTGGGGGGTGGGGGGGGTGCGACAGCCCCCCCCCCCTCCATGAAACCTTGTCGCCCCCCCCCCCCCCCCAGTCGCCCGTCGGCCCCCCCCCTGAGATTTTGAGTTCCTAAAAAAATTATCATTGATCTACATGACGCCATGGGCGTCAATCCTGGGGGGACCCCACTTTTTGAAGGGTTGGGGACACAATATCAAATGTCCCCCCCCCCCCCCCCGATTTTTGAACTTGTGTCTCATTTACAGGGCCCTATTATGTACTACAATGTATCTTTTGCTTAGAAAATATTGGTTAAAGTGGTCAGAAATTGCGTCAGATAGCACCGCAGAGCATTTAGAATCCAAAATGTTTCGGGCCCTTAAGCGGGCCCCGAACCCCAAGCCTATATAGCTCTGAATTCTGTTAGCTGATTCAATGACTCCAACCTCGAAAACAATGTTCAAAAAATTGTCTTATGCCTTTAGCTGAGAAAACCTCGAAAATTATGTTTAAATTATTATCTTTTGTGCTAAGATAATTATTGGTTAAAGTGGTAAGAAATTGCCTCAGATCACACCACAGAGCATCGAGAATCCAATTTTTTTCGGGGCCCTTAAGCGGGCCCCGAACCCCACGCCTATAGCTCAGAATACCGATAGCTGATTCAATGACTCCAACTTCGAAAATGATGTTCAAATAATTATCTTTTGCTAAGAAAAAATTAGTTAAAGCATGGAGGAAAGTGGTAAGAAATTGCTTCAGATCACACCCCAGAACATTTAGAATCCAATTTTTTTCGGGGCCCTTAAGCGGGCCCCGAAAAACGCCGTAAGGGCTTCGCGCTTCGCGCTCGCATTAGTTCTGATCAAGGTATGTCCCCCCCCCCCACACTTTTGAGAAGCAATTGACGCCCCTACATGTTGCCCCCCCCCTGAAATGTTCCAGCCCCCCCCCCCCCCCCCCCCCCGCCCCCCACTGAAAAATTCTGCCGACTAGTTAGCATCGGGCTTGGCTACTGATGATTTGCTATATGATTTTGCATTTTGCTGTAGAGAATCGGGTATTAACAGACTTCGGTAACGGCCGAAGTTTGTTAAGGGTTAAGGGAAAGGGACATGTTTAAGGTACAGCTATACTGGTCTGGGTTGGATTTATGGTTAGGTTTAGTGTTAGGCTTAAGTTTTGGTAAGGATTAGGGTTAGGCAGCGGCTTAACTAGCGTTCTCACCGTATGGGGCGAGTGGGGGTAGGGTGGGGGCTTGATCATACAGTGGGCATCCGTAAAATAGAAAAAGAATAAAAATGGGGGGGGGGGGGGAATGGACACCATCCTTCCATGGGGCGGACACTATTAGACAATAGATGATGCTCTCTAACGCAACCCTAACGCAACTTTTTTTTATGGGGGCATTTTCCAAGTTTGACAAAATGTTCTTTGTTTAGAAGCTTGGGCAAAATGGTGGGTTTTTTTCCACCTTGATGTCTGCGCATGCCTGAAAAAAAATTAATTCAAAGGGGAAGGGTCTATTTCAAGTCGGGGTAGGTAATTCCTCTGGTGCAGGTACGGAGCTTACTGTGGAATTTTTACAGGAAAATCGAAAAAGACATTGCCACTAGGGTTGGGGTGGGGGTTGTTATGAAGCTACAGTAAAATGGGACTAAAAATAATAACTGGAACGCCAAAAGTCCTAAATTCATTCTCAAATTGCCTGTGAATACAGCCAGGAGATCTGGGGGGACCTGCATGGTTATGATATAAATGTTCATCTTATGCAAACTGGCGCGCTTACAACATGTCAAGACACATTTAAAGTGTTTATGCTATTCGTTGCTATTTAATACATTTGGGCTTTTGGAAAGTGAGAAAATAACCTTAAAATCGGCATTTTTTATTTCTCAACACAAAATTCCGGGGGGGGGGGGTGATCCAATGGCCTTCTCCCCTAGTAAAAAAAGGTTGGGGATATAACATCCCCATCCCCCTCGAGATTTACGCCCATGTAGAGAAAAATCAATTAGCAAAAAAAAATACAACTGGAGCACACAAACCAAAATCCACAACAAGAGAATTTATGCTGATTTAAAAGTTTATTACATTAAAAGTATTCACATCACATCATATTATGCTTTGTGAGAAAGGTTTGAAGTCATAGTTGTTTCTTATGTGTTTGCTTGCACAGCAGACCAATACATGTAAAGACTGAAATGGATAGACTGAAATGGATAGGCCCAAAAGAACAAACAAAAAAGCATTGTTTGAATCAAACCAAACCATTGTGTGATGCAAACGTGTTTTTTTTTGTGCGACTTCTATTTAACCAAATACTTCATTCTAAACTAGACGTTCATGTGTAGTTGTTTGTGCAAGGTTAGTTTCTAAAAGACTCTTTAGCATATAGAAATTGCGTTAGAGGAAGACCTATAGCTGATCAACACAATCCAAACATAAAACAAATAAACGATAATCGTCCGGATGTGAGATGGGGCTCTTTTGAGTTCCGGTTTCATGCGACTTTTTTATTCATTTCTTTTCCAACTCCAACTAGGCCATGTGCTATTCGAAATGCAGTTATTAAACCCTTCGTTGAGAAATTCTGGGTTTTTTTCTTAGCGGATCTTGTCTCAATATCTGGTCTTATTTAAAATTTAAGTAGGCTAAAATAAAAACCGCCCCCCCCCCAAAAAAAAGTCATATCTATACATGCGACTCAGTGAAGAAGAAATGTCACAGAATAGTACCATAGTACCCTTTAACCAAAACTTAATAAACAAAAACTTATGTCTGTCAAGTGACTGTCTCGTTTTATCTCTTTTCTCCGCGCTTAGACCGTTTCCCGCCCCCATCCCCCACCCCCTAAAAAAAATTGAAGTCCGAAGGACAATGGGGTCAGGGAACCAGACTACCCCGCGCGGTGCCTGACGTCGTGTCTGTTTTATGTTTAAAGGAGTTTCACTTGGTTGGCATTGTACAGGAAATCGCCGACGTAAGTGTCTGCGTCTGCGTCGTACGCTCCTCCCCAGTTGACGACCACAACGTAGATATCTTTGTATTGCATGGGGTCAGTCAAGACGGTGTTGCTAGTCAGCTGTTCGCCATTATGAGCAATGTTGTTCATACCGACCTGCACAAGGAGGAGGACAACAAGAGATTAATCCCTACTGGCAAGAGAGGGCGCTTTTTTATGAGCAATGCTCCTCGGGCTCATTGGAAGCTTGGACACGACCTCTCAAGGAGTTTCCCCAACCTCGTCCCCAGGGTGTCGAGCAGTTCGCGCCCGCTTGCTCTCTCACCCTGGTATTGGATCATTTGCAAGATTTTTGAACGCTTATGCAAATGAGGAATAGTCTGGTGCTTGCCTGTGCGTTACATTTGCATTTGTTTTTGTATGCGGTGTCTGGGGTAAAAACAGAATTCAATTCGTCGCAGCGCGAGCATGGCATGAACTGTTACGATCTTAACGAGACAACATGCAGTATCACATTTCATATTAATATTAACAAATCGGAAAGGAAATAAACATTTTAAAGAAGGCGTGGACGAATGATCGCGAAAACACGTACTGCACGTTGTGAACAAGTACACGATATAAATCCATTACTAGCCAATTGCGGTATCGAATCAGGATACAGGAAGCATGTTTCCTATCCAGGCTTACTATTGGGAAACGAGGTTGGAAATAAAGTAAAGTAATTCAAGACTGAATTTGGATTATGTTCTCCCAACGCGCAGACTGAAAAATGCTGCCAAGCTGCAGTAGCGGCGGTAGAGGGCGGTATAAACAAAGTGAATTTTTCAATGTTTACACTTACGTCACACGGCAATTTGTCGCAGACGTACTGCGCGTAGCTGCTCTCGCCGTCCGCAGACGTGACGGTGGACTCGACCGAGAACACGTGAGTTTCCGCGTTGCTGCACCAGGAGAATTGGATCATGGCCTCCTGCAGATAACCCAGAGAGAAGGACGGAAAGACCGACACGGACTCGGTCAGGGGAATCGGGAGTGCAGGAAGTGACTGGGGATTGAATCCCGGCAAGCTCAGGGTCTTGGGACCCGGAAGGCTCGGGATGTTAGCCTTGATGTGAAGTGCAGCTGGGCTGCCCTGTATATGGAAAAGACATCATTAACAGGAGAACAAAGTAACAAACAAACGAACAACAACAACAACAAACTAAAACAAAGTTAAGGGCAGTTGCAGTCGTCATTGAAGATGTTCGGGTTGATTAATACCTGCTCATAGAACTCTGCATTTAAGCTCAAGGCGATTCCGGAGACAGGGCCAGCCTTAGCAAGGATGATGATGTCAAACTTGTTGGGCCAAGATTCGATAAGGCAACTGGAGGTTGCATAGCCATCGGCATCCTTGTTCGTGCACAACACGCCATCCTGACACACGAAAAAGTTAAAATAAAAAGGGGATTAACATTCAAGATAAATTATTGTGGGTTATTTTTTTTTCGCAGAAAGAGCTCAGTGCCTTGGCGTCGTGGTGGCCGGCCTTTAGCATTGAACTTGTGGCCTGCAGGTAATTCTGCAGGCTGTGGGTTCAAAACCAGCCTGGTGTTATAGTGTGTATGTGTGCCCTTGGGCAAGGCACTTTGTCACTCACTGCTTCTCCCCACCCATGAGTAAATGGGTACCTGTGAGAGCAGAAATGGTATTGTCGTTGATTTTAGCTTCTTGGCGCCGGCCGAAATGGCAGCATCGAGCTGTATAATCCCAAGGGAGCTGAGATTGTCTTCAGAATATTGGACCAATCAGGGCTATTTATGATGTAAAGCGCTTTGATCTTTTATAAGAGATGAGAGCACATCCAGGGAAGGTTTATTGACTCCGTGCATGAACGATAGATGTTATTTTAGGTTCAATTTCTTGAAAAGGAAACGTAAAGGGCCGGCCGCTCATAAATGCCGAAACCGGTTCGTAAGTGACTGCGTCATACACGTACACGCGCACACACCACTGACTACTTGCGCCAATTGGCTAAAATCGCCACTTTGCATTACTTCTGGTTCCAATTTCCAATGCTACTCCGTGTGTAGTGGGCGAGGTTTAAGTTGAAATGACGTCACACCTACGAACCGGATTAGCCCGCCCACAGCACACGTGGGCAACAACACGTGCATGTGCTATCTGCGCGCGTCATATGCGAGTGCGCGCATGTCGGATATAAATCACGGCTGTAATTGGTCAGAATACATCATGGGGCGGAGCCTAGTGGATAGTCAATTGCAAAACAATTTTACCTGGTAGTTAGAGTCGACAACTTCGAAATTCACGACGCCTTTGGTTGGCTCCCAGCCCGGGTTGTTGTTGAGGAGCATGGTGATGTTAACGGCTTTCCCCACGGAGTGGCCGCACAGCTCACCCATAAACCACGTGTCCTCGTCCTGGGCCAGGTTTTCAATCTGGGTAGTACTGTACCGGATAATCGTTGGTACGATGAGCTGCTCGGACATTGTAGTGGCTGGGGGAAAAAAGTTTTCTTTTCTTTTTTCATTCTACACAAATACCAACATGAATTTGAAAATGGAAAAAGGAAAAGCGGGTGTTTTGCATCGGGATTCTTTTTTAAACCACCTTGAGTAAGTTTCTTTTTGATCAAAACCATTTCTGGCAGATTCGAAACCAGCCCCATATTATGCATTCACTTCATTGTTCAGCAAGGATTTAAGACCGATACGATCAATAGGTTTAACAACTTGTTCTGAAGGCAGAACTCGGAAAGTTACAACATACATGCTCTTAAACCTAAAATCTGATTCAAACAAAATATAGCAAGAATCAAATAGCCCAAATGTCATTGCTGCAGTGGTTATTTTTACTGAAATGCTGAAAACACGAAGAAACTAAGAAACATACTTACCTTTCCCGGCCGGATCAGTCTTTCCTAACTTCTGTATCAAGTCGTCCCACTGAAGCAAAATAAACAACAAAGCAACATATTTCAGTGAGAGATTTCACGCCAAAATGATTTATTGTGAATCTGTATTTTTGTCTAGCAATACAGAATTTATTCTATTTTGAATGAGACATCGAACGAAAAAAAATCTGACCACTTTTAACTTGGAATGTGTTTTGTTTCACAAATTTCGAATCATTTTAGCCCGACAATGTGTACACTGGTTCCAGCCCTATCGAATTCGACAATGTAGGGACCGGACACCAGTCTACTCGCAGCAGCAACCCAAAATAAAAGACAACCGTTTTCAGAGATTCGCAAACGCCTAAATTACTAGACGAGTTGGTTTTATTTTCTTCAAGGGCTCCTTTGGAAAGCAGGGTTTTTTTTAACTGAAATGGACTACCCTCGTTAAAGATTACAATTTAAAAAATGATAAAAATAAAAGAAATGAATCACATCAGTTGAAAATTCATCAGAAGAAAAACAATCTAAAAAGTAATTTGATTTCATGCTACTTGCTCTTGAGTAAAACGCGAACTGTAACTGGCGCAAAGGCATTTGAAATTTAATTCCAGAGGACTGCTTACTTGCTAGAAATTAAGTTGTTATAGAAATTAACTGCTTTCGGTGATCTGAATTTTCAATTATCATCAGTGAAACTTCTTGCATTGTGTCCATTGGCGTAAATCTGTGCCAGCGAGTGGGGGAATGGGGATGACCTAAATATTGTATTACATGGGCCCTTCATATTTTTGCTGCAGTTTGGAGTTTTCTAGGTTTTTTTTTAACGATCATCATGTTTTATTTCATAAGTTTTAAAATATAAGCTGTGTACACATCTTGATCAAAATAAGAAAGTTCGACAAATTGATTACATGCAAATCGGCATACGTTACACTAAACAGTCCTGGATCCTCAAAGTTTGACATTTGGTTCGCATTCCTTACTGAATTAAGGCTAAACAAACTAGGTTATAAATCATATTCAATCAAAATATGTGACAATGCAATGCTTAGTATTAACCTTCCTAACAAGGACTAAGCCAGAGGCGGTACCAGACCAATTTGGTATGCATGGTGTGTAGCTAGTCATTTGAGTTGGATGCCTTATTGCACAAACAAAGGCTCTAAATTTCTAGCCTTTCGCCAAGGCCATCGTGGCTTATCGGCATTAGACGGAGCAGCGAAGATATGTGTCGTGGCTTCGCCATTCGACACATGTCAGAATCAGACTTTTCTGGTCAAAAATGAGATTTTTGCATATTGTTGAAATATGTTCTTTTTCCTTTTAATAGATGGTTTAATTTTGAAACCGGTCATTCCTGGGCAGAGTTATGCTATTTCGAAATTCATTGTGTCGAAAAGTAGAAAACGGAGAAAATGGCCACGAACGTCACAAAACAGTAATTTCTTTAACTACTATACCTTAACAAATCATCAAAAATACTATATTTAGAGTTCAAATTAGGGTTTCAAAGTTATATAATATATTTTAGACATGTTCAGAATTACAAATATGCAAAAATAAGAAAATCGAAAAAATAACCCCGACAGTTTTTTTTTTTTTGGCCCTATTGCAATTTCAACCTCTGCCCAAAACGTCTGCTTTTGACAGAACATGTCACATGTGATCTCCGCTCCATTCGCTTTGGTCTCCGCTCCAGTCGCTTCGCGTCTTCGCAGCTTCGGCGCTCTTTTTAATGCCAGCTAAGCCAATGGCCTTGGCGAAAGGATACGAAACTTCACGAGTGCACACACAAAAGTCTCTGATCTGAATGAAGGCTAAACTGCCAACCATGCATAAATTCGTAACAAGCAGACGAGGTCGTTATTGATAATAACGGGCAGGATTTTACAGCTAAACGACAGTCGATGATGTACGATGCTTTTTGTGAATTTCAGGGTTACTTTTCAGACCGTGCTTTGCCCATACGTATGGCGCCTTGGTTCCCGAGTTCCGCCTATCTCTCTCTATTGATGCATTCCCTGTGATATTTTTGAATTTTGTTCCCCAAAAAATACTGGAATGAGACATCGACCGAAAAATATCAGCCTATGTTAAGTTATTGACATTACTTTACAATATCGAATTATTGGCGACCCGACAGTAATTCCGTCATCGCGGGGTAGGCTGGTTCCCGCCCCACAATTGATCAGCTTCGAGAATGTACGGACCGATAATGTACGGCGGATCTGTGCCCAAAACAAAATCCTTTTTTTTTTGGTTAGGTTCGCAGACGTCAACACAAATTATTAATAGGGAAAAATTAATTCGTTGAAGGACACGGCAGATACAATTTTTAAACTGTTGAGGGGGTAGTATAAATAGAGGGAGTCCATACTTCAGAGATAAAGTTCGAGACGCATTTAAAATTTTCATCATAGAAATTCATAAAAAAATATGTGAAAACCCCCCTGCTCTTCCCCCCCCCCCCCAAAAAAAAATAATGCCCTCCTGTGCACAAAATACGGACAGAGCCAGCTTGCTTTATAGAGGGTATTTTGAATACACCATTTTGTATACACTAGTGTTAATGATCGTCGGATTTGAGCCACGTCCCCATTGAAAGTGCGGGTCCCCCCCCCCCCCCCATTATTGATTTTCGGAGGCAAAGTGTCCGGAAAAAAAATAACTTTTCTTCATTTAAGACTTTTTTGCTGATGAACCCCCCCCCCCGTAAAAATTCCTAGATCCGCCCCTGCTAGAAAGAAATGGTATACTTACTGTTCATAAATTTCTTAAATTGCCTTGGAATGCAGGAGATGAGACAGCATAGTAGATGTTCAGAAGGAGGTCTCCATAACTCTTTGGCAGTGAGTGGCTTTGGCACGCCTTGTCCTCCCTCCCCCTCCCCCTCCCCCTCCCCTGCACATGAAATTCCCTCCCCTCCGTTTCCTGAAAGCTAGATCCGCCCGTGTTAGGTAATCATACACGATGGCACTGCCCGGCCCACAAGTAACAATCAATCAGTCAGTAAGTCAGTCAGTCAGTCTGGGAGTCGGTCATTGAGTCGGTGCAGAGATGACTAAAGGTTTGTCCTCTGGAAACAGCCAAAAAAGGATCCAGAAAAAAAGTCAGAAAGACTAGGATAATGATGCAAAATCTCACTTGGTACACATTACGACTAAATGGTACACATTACGACTAAATATAGGAACAAACGTTAAAAATGAACTTTACTGAAAACAAAAATACCTCGAGTTTTCTCTCGACAAGTGTCGTTTTCGACATGTAAATATTACATTATTATCTTTTTTTCTAAATGAGTGTGCTACTTTTTTCCGGGGTACATACCTATGTTCCCCAATACCTATGTTACTGAATACCTATGTCCCCCAACCCTAACCCTACCTATGTTCCTCAACCCTAACCCTAACACTAACCCTGAGGATTTTGGGGAACATATGTATTGGGGAACCCAGGTATTGGGCCCAGAACATCGGGTAGACCCCTTTTTCCGTAGGTGATATGGCAAATATCTCTTTGAAAATAAGATTGTTAGGGGTTCAGCAAGCGTTGTCGGCTAAACGAAAGATGTATAGTGTTCCTACACTGTGTTCTAGGAGGATTTTGTCTTCTGGATCTTTGTCTTGTAGATGGTTTGTCTGCGATAGTCACACTGGGGGTCATACACCACTGTCGTGCAAGCAAAATCGTTCTACCAAGGCCAGCGGAACAATCCGGACTAAGTTCGCTGTCTGCAGGGGTTAGACATAATTGTTGTTGTGGTTTTTTTAAACATCTCTTTAATGTCACAACTATCCAGGACTGATGGCAAATGGTGCATATCTAATGGTTAATGGCTATATCCTCGCTTTCAAATAGCAGTCACGTTTCCCATCAAGATCCAACAAGTTTCATGCGTTGGAAATTATAAGTAATTCTTCATGATAAGAATTTGTGTCGTCCAATTTTTTGGTGTGAAAGTCTCATGCATTTTGTAATTTTTGGCAAACTTTTCGGTGACTTTTTGGTGAGCTCTCTTTTCAGTATTATGATAAGAACTCATCCAAAATGTGTATGTTGACGGAAAAAATCATGCCTTATTTTTCACAAAGCTGTTTGATTAACAAAAGGAGGGGGAAAGAATAAGCATGGTTAGCAATCCCAAAATTCGGGGAAAATTTGACACCAACCCCTGGCAATATTCGAGCTGATATTTTCCAAGGTCAACATTAAACATAATACGGGTCAAAATGACACTTCAGTGGATCATTTCTGGGTCATTTTGACACTTTTGCCAAGGTGTGCACCTTGGTGACAGTGTCATTTTGACACCAAACAAAGTATTATTTTTGACCCAGAAAATGTATTAGGTCAAATAATACAATCCGGATCAAATCTGACCCGATGTATAGACCAGAAATCATAGGGGTCAAAATTTCACACTATACACCGGGACATTTTAGAGAGCAGAGAAAGCTAAGGCTTTGATATATAAATCATGAGAGGACGACATTAATGTTTAGTTTAAATGGTGGGTGGACAACCGTTGCATGAAATGCCGGAGATAAAAAAAAACAGACGTGCCGTGGCATTGGATTCGAGGTATGTAACTCTGCAGGTTGTGGGTTCGAGTCCAGCCTGAAGCTGTGGTGCGTGTGCCCTTGGGCACGGCACTGTTCTCCCGATCCAAATGGGTACCTGTGAGGGCAGAGATGGTTAGGCCTATTGTGAACGTGATTGATTTAAATAGCTACCTTGTGCCGAAATGGCAGCATCGAGCTGCTATGAATACCCCCAGGAAGCTGAGGTTGTCTTTCGAATTTTTCATTTGCCCAAATGAGCAGGTGTAATAATGATCTATAGCATCTTGAGTACCCGTGCGCTTTATAAATACACATTATTGATGAAATTATCATTATTAAGGATAAATATAAGAGATTGAAAACCCCAATCCACACGTCGGCCAGGGAGGGGCCGGGAATCGAACCCCGGGTCAAAGATTTGGCAAGCAAGGAAAGCAACACTTAAGCCACATTGACTCCCCAGCCACTTAACATTTTGAGAAACTTGGCAATTAAGGTTTGATGCTCGATGTAAAAACATATAGTAACGACTCAAAAGTCTTACGCATGGACTCCTTGTGAACAGACTTCTTTTCATCAAGTAAACAGAAAATTCAATGATTTTACAGCAAAGTAATTTATCAACAAAGTTATAAATGATTTTATTTTCGATCTGTTAACACCCGTAACCTTCGATGTTTTTTTAAGGACATACGTGTACCAATGACAGGAGAGAAACTTAATATAGAAGAGGGCCACAGACAATATACAGAGTCATGTCTGTCGAATCATCCGTGAGAAAACGTTTTGACAACGCGTCGTCTGCAATAAATTATGATGATTGAAGACTTCACATAAAAGGTGCACTCCTTGGGAAATCGTAAAGCGTCGGGCCCTTTTGAAGTTCTAGTTGACAGCCCGACAAAGACACATCAAGTTACTAGAAAAGCAAATGGCCTTAATAATGCGTTGATCAGCCCAACGTAATGAACCAATGAGGTAATATCGATTGTTTGCTGGTTGTAAAATAACCCATTGTCGGCACAAGGAAGGTCTCGAGAAAAAAACGGGTTGCACCTTCGTGGTAACACAATGCATCAGGTACAAGCATTTTTTTAGGGGGGGGGGTGCACGGTTTACGTAAGCGCTTTAACAGATTGAAGGGTCAAAGTTAGGTCCAAGAAGCACCCTCTCTTGTTTACAAACGGAGCCCATTTCTCACCTCCAGGATTTGAAACAAATTAAAAACAGATTAAGCAAATAAATAAATATAATACCTTCATTCATAAAGAAATCAAACGGAGTTTGTGGAATGGCAGTGGTGTAACATGTGCGGCTGGATTCACGACTATAGCACCCAACAGCTAAATTTTTGACCCCAAAAACTATGACCCCGAAATTCGTTCTCGTAAGAATAACACCAAACAAAGAATGGTTTGTGTGGACGTCTGTATCCTACTTTCAAATGCTCTTTTTAATTAACGTCTTTTCGTTTAAAATGCGTTTACGGTAGTCCAATTGAGCGCAGTCCAGGACATAATTTCTTTTTGAACGACTATTCAATTTGCAGTTGCGGATCTACATATTTGGCTTTAGGTTCAGGAAATGTTTAGGCCCCAGACATTGGGAACTTGGTGTGGTACATGTTCTGCTTCAGTAACATAAAATCATATGTCTAGAGATGAGAGATAGGCTAGATATGATAGGCAAGGGGTGAAGCCGAAGCCCCAAACGAAACCGATGCTTAGAAAACCTCCTAAATCTCATTACAAAATTATACAATCTTTTGATAATGGGTGGCTAGCCTCGACTTTATACTCAACCAAAAATAGGTGAACAACCAATTCCATTCGCAAGTTGAACAACTCTTCACCTATTAATATGTTGGTTCCCTAGCACGTATTTCAAAGTACACTCCTTATCTGCCAGCCTTTGTGTTGCGGAACCCGGTTGCATTGTATCTAATTGGATTTTGATGTATTTTTGTGATGCCCGACCTGCGCCGTGTATTCATATAAGTTGAACTTCGCTTGCCGTTTTTGTTGTTTGCATAGCCTTTGGTATCCACTGAGACAAACGCTGCTGTGGTTTGCTTACGAGGGACCTGATCACCAGGCTTGTTCAGAACCTCTTTGATAACCCCGAATCTTTAAGTTGATTTGTTTAAGTTCAAAGCAAAATAGTGGACAAATCCAACATGGACGTCGACGAGTGAAGCACATTTTCTAGTGATTTCTGTTTCGAGACCAAAGTGAAGTTTCGAACAGTCCATCACCATGGACGAGGCTACAACTTTCGCGCCAAATGACAGCGGTCATCGGGAGTTCGACTGCTCCTTCGACCCAAGAGCTGCCGAGATTTTCGCAAGTAAAATACTTCATGCCTTTTCTCAATTTTAACTGCAAAACAGTGCATAATGTTTCATTACTCATTTTATTGCGGATAAAACTTCAAAATGTTGTTTCAAATGTGGTTCGCGGTGATTAAACTTGGTTTCACATTCTGTGCGGTAACTGTGTCGTATTTGAGGGGAAACGATCAAGAAATAGAAATCTTTAAAGAAATCCTCTAATCTGTTGGACATGAAGGTTGTATCATTATGGGCAATGTTGCAAATTGTTCGAAAAATGCGGTTGCCAGGATAAACATCCCCCGCCCCACATACACTCCCACTCCACCCCCTCCCCCCAATTTTTTTTTTTTAACATGAATGTTAAACCCTGTTTAAATTCAATTTCGGTGGTACGAGAATTGTCTTTGAATATAGCTTAACTTGGAATGCAATTTGAGTTTAAAGCTCAACGTCTCGTAACTTTAAAAGAAACACGTCTGTATCATAATGGTTGTACTTTTTATAAGGTTTTAGGGGTGAGATGGGATACCGGTAGCAATTATCGTTCCACGAGTATATACATAGTTTTTTTCGTGAACCACTTTAGTTTACAGGGTGATCCAAAAAAAGGCAATCCTCAAACATTTGCCTTTAAAAAAAAAGGGATGGTCGGATTTTTATTTTATGGGTATCAGATTAAAGCTGAGAGCTTTTTCTTTCAAATACTGGGTAAACAAATCATGAAAATAGCACTTTGGGTTGCTGAGAAAATGCCAATTATGTAAAAGTAGTCATTTTTCATCCAGTACACAAGTACTCCAAACAGTGAAACATTTTACTGTAAGCCCACTGTGCAATTATCGTTCATTTTGACATATTTATGATGCTGAAAAGGTTTAAAATACCTTGTAAAAGTATTTACAAGAAAAAGCTCTCCGCTTTAATCTGATACCCAAAACATACAAATCCACTGATCTCTTTTTTTTTTAAAGGCAAATGTTTTAGGGTTACATTTTTTGGGGGTCAACCTGTAAACTAAAGTGGTTCAAAATTAATAGAATGCATTTAGGGAACACGACCAAAAAGGCTTCCTCGCAAATAAGGACCATAGGCTGGCCCTTCAGTGATCAAGGGATATGATGCTCCTACCATTCTATAGGGCTTACGTCACAAGAAAACATTCGATACCGGTACTTGTGTCCCAAAACACTCCTTTTCATATTTTCTCACTCAAATCTAGTAATTGATCGAGTATTCTTTATTAGTCCACTTCAACCTATAATTTCCAAATTTTAAGGGGCTCATCAAAATTAACTCTTACTTCGACAAGCAGTCCGATGTAACCGAAACATCGTCCACCATCGGTCACCTGATGAACTGTGTCGAAGTCCAAAATATTGACCCATAGAATCTCAATATGGCCCATTTCCAATCTTCGGCTTTGTTCCAGCTGCGGTTCTCCTCATGTCCCCTTCAGTACGTCTTTGATGTTTAAATCAAACGCACAGGCTTAGTCTAGTCTCGGCTTAGTCACACAGGATTAGATGTTTCTGGAATAGAACAAGGATCCATAAAACAACCGTCGGATTGAAGGCCAGATCAAAGAAACAAATAAAACTCTGAAAGCAAGAGTTAGATAATTTAAGAATACGTTTACAGAGAAATAAATGACAGCCTTTGGGGGAAAAAGGCAAATTTCACAACAAGGAGAGATCATGTACAAGAAAGTGTATCTGGTAGAAGTAGACCAACATGGAAAATATAACCAGGTAAAAATCTCGATCTTTTGGATTGCTAGACTTCATTCGAGTCACACGCACACGTGGAACATTTTAAAACCGTTGCTTCAAACACGTGTTCTCATTGGCGTGTGATCTGATTTCCAACGACGGTTTTATTCACTGCTAGAAATTGGTTCTGAAAAGTGAAGAAAAGAAAAATAAACAAACGAACAAACTAAAACAAACAAAACAAACAGAAATCTGAAAGCTGCTGCATCATATTTAAAAATAAGTAGGGTTCTTGACATGTTTTCAATCAATTGAAAAGGTGGATGTCCATGGGCGTCGCCAGGATTTTTTCTAGAGGGGGGCAAAAAAATTTTTGGCAAAAAATGCTTGTATTTCTCAACACATTCTCGATTTATCAGTTTTAGAGGGGGGCAGGGACATTTCCCCCCCCCCCCCCAACTCATTAAATTTACACATCCTTGTCTTCGCGCCTCTTTTTCTTTTCTTTTTTTTCCTTTTTTTTTCTTCCTTTTTTTTTCTTTTTTTGCTTTTCCAGGGGGAGGGGCAAGTGCCCCCCCTTGCCCCCCCCCCCCTCGCTACACCCATGTAGATGTCTTCTGATGCGAAATATTTTTTTTTAAAATATTCTACTTATGCCAACTTCAGACGAAAATGCACCTTTAACATAATCTCTAAAAGTCTGTGTTTTAGCCCCAATTCTTCCTTTGTCATTTGCAGATATTTCTGAAAACCCCGAGTTATTGGCTGTAATAATCATCGGGACAGTTCTAACGATAGGACAGATCATCTCCCTGGTCGAAGGATGCACATGGATCGCCAAGAATATCCCGCACAGTGAACGGTCGACGTGTTTGATATGGATGTTCTCGTGTTGGCCGGTGAGTTGAGCAGACGATCGACGGCTGTTTTGTGAATATAAATTTCCAAGTCTAAATTATTGGGAAATTAAAGATGGAATGTCCGTGATCTTAAAAATATTCCATATTAAAAGTGAAAAACTTTTCAATTGCTAGAAAAATAGCGATTCAAAAGATTTTATATAAGGGTGAAACTCGGAAATAATTATGTTGTACGGACAGAACATCCCTAATTTTCTAAGTCTCAAAGACGTGCAGACCCGGGTTATGAGACCCCACGCCATTATGGCATTCATAAAAGCTTCCAAATTAGAATGATTTTCAGCGTACAGTTCGACCATACCTTCGAGAGTCATTATCATAGTTTGAGAGGTTGGGTTTCAGTGAAAAAGACTCAAGTTACAAAGACGAGTACAATTTTTCATAAATCTGACTATATATTTTTGCCTTTCTGATTTATAAACAGGTGTTTAGTATCGTATCATTAGTGGGTTTGTACATTCCGAGGGCAGCTCTTCTAAGTAACATCGCTTCTAACATGTGAGTCTCGACTTCCGATCATTTCAGTCCAAAGAGAAACACCATAAGGATGTTTTAAGAACCGAATGAAACCCAAACCCTGCAAAATGCAACAGAAAGCAACAAAGGTAAAACGTTGTTGCATACTGTTGCATTTAGCAGGCAACTCAAGTCCCCGTGCTTGTTGCATCTTGTTGCATTTAGCAGGGTAACTGCTCATAGTGCCAAGACAATACAACATCCACTACTGCATTTGGAACAAAGGTAAAACGTTGTTGCATACTGTTGCATTTAGCAGGCAACTCAAGTCCCCGTGCTTGTTGCATCTTGTTGCATTTAGCAGGGTAACTGCTCAATGACAAATACCCCCCTCTTGGCAACTAAACCCGCCACTTGCCCCAAACCTGGTTCAGCTCCTGGTCATGTAGCATCCCCAAAATATCGGAGGGCTGCATATCACTCGTTATTTGAACAGACCTCAAAATAACCCACACAAAATTAATCAAAAATATTTTACAAGCTTTTGGCTTACCAAAAGGAGTTAAAAAGGAATTGTAACTATCTTTAACTTAAATCATTATTAAAGTCGAGCTGCTAAATAAACGTGAAATTCTTTCTGTCTTGAACCAGACAATGTCGTCGTAACAGCGGCCTCATTCGCTATAAAATACAATCTAAAAGTTTCTGGGTCAAGTTTGACCCGGAGTCCGAGTCGTATTTGACCCGAAAATTTTCCGAGTCAAAACGACACTTCTCCGGTCACAATGACCCAGAAAATGATCAAAAGACGTGTCATTTTATTAGACACGGAAAAGTGTCACTTTGACATGGAAAGGTGTCACTTTGACATGGAAAAGTGTCATTTTGACCCGGAAAGTATTAGGTCAAATGCCTGGGACTTCTTTTTAGAGTGTATGGCCAATTGGTCCCTTACCAATCATGCCATGGCCACTGATTAGCTTATCCTTAAAACAATGTTTTCCTCCAACATCTCACAGGTTCTTGTACCCGACCATGTACCACTTCCTGCTGCTGATCGTGGACTACTTCGGAGGAGAGGACTCCCTCATCGGCAAGATGAGAGGTCACCTCATGCACTTCAACCAGCCACCATTGCTGTGTTGTTGCTGCTGCTGCCCTAAGGCTTTCTGCCACAACAAGCTGACAAAGTAAACTAAAGATTATTGTTTTTCATTAACAAACAAAAATTCACGAGAGAAGATTTCAGACGAGCGAATCAATAACAAGGATAAATACCCCTTACTTCCATGACACAAACACAACAATTAAAGCTGTTGGTTAATTTCTGTTCAATTCCTGGGGTAGTCGGATTTCTTTTAGAAGTCCAGAGGTTCCCGTATACAAGAGACAATCAATCCTATCGCCATTTTGAAAATGATCCTTCGGCTTCATTGAAATAAAAGTGAGCGAGTTTCTGGTCCAATTATACATCCAAATTTCCCAGAGATACAAGATCATAGTCCTGTTCGGAACTTGAACACTTTATTTTGTACAAACCCTGTGCATCGACCTCAGTATGCTTTACTACGGAGTTAAAGGTAATGATTCCTTTTAGAATGAGTGGGTAGATGTGAGCAAATATTTTTATTTTTGCATTATATTATAGTGTTACCAAATCAACACACCCTCAGAGGTAACGATATGTTTGGTTTTGTGCCCGGAAGTCACCTCTCCTTACAAGGGTAAAATGTCTTAAAGCTGCATTTGGGACAATTTCATCCTTTCCCAAGGTCATGGAACTTTGTTTTCATATGAATTATCGTACTATAGGAAAAAGTACCTCTTCTTGGAGATCGTGGTAATGCAGGTAGCGGTTGCTCGACCTATCATGCAGTTCCTGACGCTTATGTTCGACTTGGATGGAACCTACCCGTACCCAAGCTACGTAAGTTTTCAGGGAAAAAGTCGATTAAGAGACATTTTACGATTCACGGGTTTAAGTTTCCCAAACTAACAGAAATCTGTTTTGTTCTCTGTACATTAGCGTAACTAGGGAGGAAGGGGCACTAAGGGGCCTCATGGAGGGGAACACAATGAGTTTGATCATGTTTCAAACAATACAAACCTTCCGGTTTTTGCCTTCCCAAAAATTCTGAGCAGTAGTTAAGGGGGGAACAGGTCTCGAGTATTAGAGGGTCGTGCCTCAATGCCCCCCCCCCCCCAGTCACGCCTCTGGTATGAAAGTGTAAAAAAAAAAAACGACGACACACATAGCGTCGCCTATTGGATACCCGAGACAACGGTGTGACGGCACGACGCGATGCCCGACGTCTCCGTCGCTTCGTGCCGTCACTTTACGACGCGGTACCAGGCTGTATAGCGCCTGGTACCGCGTCGTGTCGTTGCGTCTTGCCGTCACCTCCTGCCGCACGCGGTGCAGTCGCGCGTCGCGCCGTCCTTGCATTTTGTATGGAGAAGTTTTTGTCCAATTACCAATTTGAGGTCACCCCTTGTTAACACCTTGACGAAGCCTTTGTAAATGGCAATAGCAATATCATTGCCGTACCAAGGAGGTATTGCACTCGTCTTTTGGACAGGCTGTTAGCAAAGGCATACTGACCAGACTTATCCGAATTTGTCCATTATAATAATTGTTAACGCAAATTGTTCACATGTCAACCTTATCCCTTAATCGCAAGTAAAATCTAGAGCCAAATCATAGATAACAAGTAACGGGGACGACCATTGATAAAGAAATGCCATCTTCGCGCATCATTTGAACAACCTGTGACTACTCGAGACCAGAATGCTTTGAGACTTGATGATGACTTGTGATGATGATTTGACGACGACTCTGCATTTAAACTTTCCACACAGGACCCCCGGTCACCACACGTGTACCTCTTAGTTCTCAACACCATCAGCACCATGTCTAGTATGCAAAGTATCTTGATCATCTACAACTCGGCCAAGCCCGCCATTAAGGACCTGGGAGGCTACAACACCTTGCCCAAGTTCATCCTCTTGGAGTCCTTTGTCCTGGTTAGCGGTCTCCAGATGTCAATCATCGGCTTTGCCATTGGGGGCGTGCCTTGCAGCAAGCCCTTCCCGTTCATGTCAAGGGGCTCAAGTAAGTTAAGCCGCTTGAGTGTGGTGTTAGCCTTGGTTCAAGGCGGGTAGATCGTCCCACCGCCGAAAGAGGGCACCGCAATCAAAGTGCATGGCCGCATGCAACGTCAACAGTGGCTTTATCTTTGATTAGCACAGAAAGCTATTGCTATTGTCGAAACATGTTGCAAGCCAAAATGCAGTTAATTGTTGCGTGCAGTATTTTTGCTAACCACATTATTTGGCTGAGCATCGTTTTCTGTCAGCACTTTTGTGGAATGGGGCTCTGCTTGACTATTAGCTCGAGATAGAAAAGTAGCACTACAGAAAATCTCGGCAAACATCTATGCACACTTGAACAGAAGTACAATTAACCTATGTGTCTTTTCAGCACTTACCATACCGGCACAAAGTTTTCCGGTTTTCAAACAGAAAGGAAAGCGATTTACAGAAGTAATTTACCTCTCTTTAAAACTTCTTTATAGATATAGGCCTAAGCTCAGTTGAACGAAACAAAGACACTGGTAATATTTAAACAAATTACATGTGAATAGGAAAATCCTGTGCATACGTAAATCCGAGCTCACGGTTTAATAACCACGAAATCCAACAATTCAATGCTTGTGTGGTTTTTGTTTTAGGCTGGAATGCCTTCATCACGATCCTTTGGGGCATCATCTTCCAGCCTGTCAGCATCAAGTACCTACGCACTCTGAAGGGCAACGTGATCAGCCTACCGTCCAAGTTCCGCGACGACAAGAAATCGACCAATCTGCCGGGCCTGATCGCCCGGGCCAAGGAGCGTCTGCAGCGGGGAGGGGAAGTGTCGATTGACGAGGAAGCCGCCGAGGCATCGGAGGCAGAGGAGCGGACCCCTCTGCGCCGACGCCGGTACAGCACGGGGTGCGTGGATGATGGTACCTCGTACGGTACCGTCCATGGCTCGGTCTTAGAGGTGTAGTGAGGTAGCAACTTATACCAAGGCTGGTAATGGGTCGCTCTTGATAGCTGACCCCACGGCTTAGCTACATGGGTGCAAGTGAATTTTAGTCTCAATAGAAATTATACGGTGCATATAAAAGTCTAGGCGAAAAATAGTCGATTTTGTTGTTTTTCAGAAGTGACTAAATTTTCCTTCAGTTTTTAAGAACCACAGAGAACCCAGTCGGTATAAGAGCGCTAGAGTGCATGATTCAAGCATCGTTAGTGATACCAAAGCAATTTTTACACCTGTTTTATTTGTATGTTGCAGTAATCAATTTGAAAACATATGCTTTGTATTCATACTGTCTGTTTTAGGCCTATAATAGTGTGATATTGAAAAAAAATGTGGGTAAATTGAAAACTTAGTTAGGTGCGCAAGAGATCTCAAATTGTGGTGGTATCTTTTGATTTCATCGGGTAAGCTCAAAAACGGTCATCCATTACTTAGTACGATAGTTACAAGTTTAAATTGATGTATATAGTAGGTAGTGTGTAGTGCTTCTTGTGACGTACAACTGATTTCGTTTTTATATGAGGTTTTCGGCTTTTAAAACTGTTACAATGTTTGTGACAGGCACAAAAAATTAGTGTGAACAAATGTTTCATAATTAGTTTTAAACTAAAGTTTCCAAAAAATAAGCATTTCCAAAAAATAAGCATTATGTTACATTAAACACTGGAGGAGCTTTGTAAAAAAAAAATGTTAGAAATCAGTGCTGTAAATCGGAAAAAAAGTTTTATTTGGGTAAGATTTTTTAAATCAAGCACAACTTTTAATTGTTTTGCATGTATTATTTTCCTAGGAGTTTGTAATATAAATGACAAATTGATATGATTTATATATTGATAATTGTTACCAATGATGTATTGTAGTAACATTATGTCGCTATTATAATTTTTTTAGATATTTTATTTCATATGAATACTGAAGGGAACGGGTGTCGCTATAGTACAGGTTAAATATTTTATAACGCTTTGGTTTACAACGTTAAAGGGCCACTAGGTCCTGAAATCCCCGAAAATGTTATGTTTTGTTTACTTAGCCTATTTCAAATATCTAGTTGAAAGGAAACCAACCTAATGTCTTACCGTTCCCGAGAAAAGACGAAAAAAACCGCTTGTTTACATCGGACATGACGGAGTACGAATACGTTTTTCGTGTCGTTCTCAGTGTACGATTTACACGTTGTGTGTCTCAGGAACAGCGGTGACCAGTCACCACTAATGCAGAAAAAGGGGTTTCTTCAACGTCCGCAAAAGCGAACACTTTACGAATGAAATCACAACTAGCGTCCAAACAGCTCGAATTTATGGGGTCGCAAAAGTGCACCCCGAAATTCGTTCTCGCACAATACAGAAATAACACAAAAACGCCCAGTTTTGAAAGGATAGTTGTGTGGATATTTATATCCTACTTTTAAATGTTATTTCCGATTCACATCATCTCGTTCTAAGCGCGTTTTGTAGCCCAAATGGGCTGTTTCCAGGACCTAGTGTCCCTTTAACCAAAATGTCAATAATTGCACGGTTAACTAATTGAACAAGCTATCTGCTAGGGCGAGGGCGTGTTCGCGTTTTGAGGACGTTGAAGAAACCACAATTTTTTGCATTGGTGATTGGTCACCGCGCGCTGTTCCCGAGACACACAACGTGTATAGCGTACATGAGAACGACACGAAAAACGTATTCGTACTCCGTCATGTCCGATGTAAACAAGCGGGGTTTTTTTTCCGTCTTTTCTCGGGAACGGTAAGACATTAAGTTGGTTTCCTTTCAACCAGATGTTTGAAATAGGCTAAGTAAACAATCCAAAACATAACATTTTCGGGGATTTCAGGACCTAGTGCCCCTTTAACTTTACCTTTCTTTCAACATTTAAAAAAAGTATATATGAACATGAATTTATTGCTTAAAATATAATCTGCCAATGAACTGATGTTTAAAGGAAGATATACGGCGCTTTCTGCTGTTTCTGTGAATAGCGCAGGAATTGGATAGTTACGCTATAGAACCCAAGATGTACTGCTATGCTATTTTTGAGTATCATCACTCAGAAATTGTATTTTATTCTTAAATTGCCCTTTTTTGGTAACTATTCAAAAGTTATACCAATCGGCCAACGTTTAGTTGTGACATTATTACTTTTACAAATTTCGAGTTATTTGCGACCAAACACTAAGTCGTTCCAGCACAGTTTAAAATTAATGATTTGTGGACAAGAACCAGTCTACTTGCAGGGCGATCTGTTATTGCGTAAAAGCAATCTATAAATGAATCTCTTTTTCAAAGGATTGCAGACATCTTAAAAATTAAAACAAAACTTCTTTTTTTAATGAAAAACCCGTAAGTCAACGTTTGTTAAAAGAAACAAAAATCGAATTTGTTGGAACATGGGGCGGAATATATTCAAGACATTCTTTTAAGGAAGTTGATTCATGTTTGGTTCTAAGTTTGCAGTTTTGCACTAGTCTTGCTTTGTATATAAGCAAAAGATAATCTACAAGTAAATTCATTATAACTGTACCAAGCAGACTTCATTAACTGCAATATAATAATGTTTAAATGTACAACCAACCCATGAACCCAACTTTCATTTCAATTCAGTATCGTGTGTATAATCATATAGGTACGAATGCTTTGGTTGGTATAAATCGTATAGCCTAAATACTATATTTGAAAAGTAATGATAAAATCTATTAATTTCGTATCGATCAATATCGTATAATATTATATATTATAATGTAATTAGTCTGTAATCTGTTACTTTTCCAGTAAAATTTCTCTACTGCCTGTACACAAAAGTGTGTGAAGAGAATTAAATGAATTGCTGACCAAATGTTTTACGGAATAAATAGGGTTTTTTTAATTCAAAACTATAGAGAGTGTGCTAAAAAGTGGAACATTCAGAAAGCAAATAATTAAAAATGTTTATTGATTTTTTTTTTCTTCAATGAAATTATATATTACATTAACGCCTGACTAATTCTCAATGCACTCCTTTTTACCCCATTCCATTGAGCCACTCTCACCTGGACACGCTAAATCTGGGTTAAGCATTGAATGGGCATTGAAGTTGGTGACATCACAGGTGAGAGTGGTCCTAGTAAAATGTACACCCTTTCGCTTAATTGATTGTATTTGTGGATCTAGGGACCCAAATGGAATGGGGTACAAAGGAGCGGATTGAAAAATAATCAGGCTTTAATGTAATATTATGATTTCATTGAAGAAAAAACGTTAAACAGTTTCAATTATTTGTCTTCTGAATGTTGCACTTTTTTGGCACACTCTGTATTTTGTTAATTCTCTCGCAAAGTGACAAAATATACACAATACCGAGCGAATTCCGCCCGCCCCTTTTTTAGGGGTTAAAGATCAGAAGACCTGGAATTTCAGACCACCAGCCAAGAGAGTTCGTCAATATCATCAGTACAAGCCCCTTTCCCGCTATGAAAACATCAACTATTTGATCTATTGAAAAATATCATTTACTATTTGGCTACTTGATGAACTTTGACCTAAAATTGACGACCGTCCCGCTATATGATAATATTAAGCCCTAATGAGTTGCCTAGAATTTTTGGCTAAAGGCTTTACACCTGGCATATCAGTGCCTGAATATCCTCCTGAACTTTTTTATCTGTCGTTACAGGCTGAACTCAAATGATGCCGAGCCGCCGGGGCATGTTCCAAAGATAAGAAAATCAGATTTTTTTGTTGCTGCTCCGATTAAAGATGGACTTTAGCCACCATCCGGAGTTGAGGGTCTTGCAACTTTGAAACTGGCTTTGCGACTGGGGCGTACGTGTAGATCAGCCTACCAAATTCCACTACCATTTCTGCCAAGAATTATTTAATACGTCCACTTTTGTGAGGACCATTGTGAGTCTACCAAGAAATGCGTCTGAGATTATGAACGGGGAAAAATGGTCTGTCGGTTTCAAAGCGTCATAACCTAACCGTGTGTTGATGGCTAAGTATTGTATTCATGGGACTGTGAGTTGTGTGTCGTTTGAGTGAATGTCTGGTTTTAGTTCTGGAACTGGATATACGCTACACCATCCACCATGGAGGAAGTATTCAACGAAACGGAATATTATAAAGTCTTCAACTGCACATCGGATCCCACAGCGGCCGAGATGTTTACATGTAAGAGTATTTCATTCTTGGAAAAGAAAGGGTAAAGGATATGGGCACGAATGGTAGGGGCATAGCTTGGGGTTTAGCGCCCTTCACCGATTATACGTATACATTCGTTTTAAAAATTCACTGACTGAAAGAGAGGAACCGTCAAAGGGAACCTTCATTTCATGTCACGGTTCAATAAAGCTGAAGAGGATTTTTCAAAATAAGTACATAGACTGTCATCACCTAACTTTGCAATGCAGTAGTAAAATGCCTCTTTCATGCCAACGATATGGCCAAAAAATTAAAACTATTGTCGATTTTGTGACACTCTAAACTCGCTCAGTGTTTTTGTTTTGGAGGGGGAGCAAGAGGGCTCGAGTATTTTTGTTTTCAAAGGGGATTAAGTAGGTCCAATATCGTTCGTTATTTCCACATTGCAATATTAAAACTAAAAGTATGTGTAGCTGATGGCTTGCGAGGAAGATACGCAACAATTTCCTGAAAATAAAAAAATGAGAAGCGGGTGGGGTTTTTTTTTGGGGGGGGGGGCATGGCCCCTGTCCCCCCCCCCCCAACATAACCAATCATTGGTGGAAATAAACAATTGTTTAAAGGGGTGTCCAACCAATCGGTTGCAGCACCTGTTACATGCAGCACTTCACTAAAACAATCATCCCGACATTTGGGTTTCGCTTTTTTGACTCACCCTGTATACGGAGTAATAAAGTAATAAAATGAATAAATGTAACGAATGAATAAAAATCAAACAAAACGAATAAATAAACGACACGAACACCTCCACATCTGACCAACAACAAAGAACTGCTACACTACAAACCAAAAAAAGCCACAAAACAAACAAAAGAGCAAACAAACGGAATGATACAAAATTGATAATAGCGGAACCCGAATTGCAAGTCTAAATAGCAACGTATCCAAGCAAGTTAAAGAGAAAATAACTAAATTAAAAAACACTACAAGAACAATTCAGTGACTGACAGCAATTAACCTCAATTTTCTAGAAGAAAGGCTATACACGTTAAAACAAAATCCGAAAATGTATGAAATCGTTGGAAACCAACAGTAAAGAGTGGGCTTTCATAGTTAATCTTAAACATTAATCCCTTGTAAATTTATAATGCAAGAGAAGTGTATTTTTCCCTGACCTCGCTCTATCAACCTTGAATAAGGGGTTAGTGAACATCATTAATACATAGTGTCACCTATTTTAGTTAAAAGATTAAAAAACGACGACGTAAAAACCGTCGTTTATTTCAGACACAGTTTCCTACCTCATCATCCGATGAACCAGCGGTCGCAATGGTGACTGTTAATTGTAGTTTGCTAGACCCTTTAGGCCAAAAAAAAAATAAGTCGGTCTCTGGTCAGCGCGCGCGTCGATTTTAATCATGCGCGTCGATCCTTTTTTTCCAAAATGTTCCGCGGTAGCTCCAACAGCGCCCTCTATTTCCGCACCTCCTAATTTTTTTTTACCAAAGAGCACCAAGGAATGGGAAATTGCACCAAGGCAAATGATCGAAAGCACCAAGGCAAATTATGGAGGACACCAATGTACACGAGGACACCAAAAAAGCAAAACTGAGTACCCCACCTTGTCTGTACAATCAAAGCCAGGAGAAAAAAAAAAGCAAAAAAAAAAAAAAAAAACCGCGTGGCCGCGTCAATTCCGGAACTTTGGTCTGACCAGAGACCGAATATTTTTTTTTTGCCTTACTTTTGTTTTTTTGCTTTTAACAACCTTTAGATTGTGTACGTTTGCCAGCTCAGTACCGACACAGTTTCCACATAATTATTGTGCATTAGACTTAGCTTAATCCCAGAATGTGTCTGTATAATGAGAAATATTGTATAAAAGTTATAATTTATTCCGGCTTCACAATTCAATTCTAACTTAAATCAGAAATCGAGCACTATACTGACACATATCATATAACTGTGCAGTAACAACATGATGAACAGAGCTTTCCTCCATAAAAGACATACGGAAAACAATGATAAAACACATGAGACAATCTCGCCTCTACACGGGTCCAGTGCTCTCAACAGCCCCTGTTGGACCAGGGTTTACAGGCTTTACGCTCGGACCTGGCTCTACGCATGCTGGACTGGTGTTGATTTCAACACAGTGAGGTGAAACGATCTAGTGAACAGGCCTGTAGTTTCTTATCAGCCTACTTGATGCTTCCTTTCAGGTCCATGAGTGCAGTCCTCTTCAAGGTACCACTGTCACTAGCCTGTGGTGTTATCATGCAAAGTTTCAAATTTTATTTACCTTATAAAGGCTCATTTTGGCACAAAATGAATTTCGTTTCTTTCTTAGTTTTTGAGCACAACCCGGCCGGTCTGGTTTGTCTGATAATTGCTACCGTCATCACGGCAGTTCAGACGGTGATCATGATCGACGGGATCGTCTGGATATCGAAGAATATCCCACACGCAGAGAGATCGTCCTCCATGATCTGGTTATACTCCATCTGGCCGGTAAGAAAGACTTCAAATTTCACAGTACTTGAATTAAATAAGATTTAAAGATACATTGTCCTTGGTCTTTTTTCCCTAACAAATTTCTACTTGTTTGTTTCTTGTAACAAAAAAAAATCCTCTTTCACGGAACTTGAGAGCATTATGGGTATCTTCCTACCGTCAACGATGCGTGTTTATTTAATTCCACGCACATGCATCTTGCGCACGCGCGACAACGGTTTAACAAAGTACAACGTATTGAGTGCTCCGAAAAAAACCAAAGTCCGCCACAAGCGGCGCGCGCCCTAAAACAAATAGCCTGGCTGTAGACCCAACCCATAATCAATGGAGTGAATTGAATGTGAAATGTAGACGCTGAAATGTCATTTTCAGTAGAACGGATGTACAATTTCATCCATTCGCTATAATGTTCAAAACGATGTTCGTTAAACATAGCAAGGCGTCATATCAACAATTGATAAACGTATTGAAGTGTGCACGCTTAATCCATACATCTACTATACACGCAGAAGACTACGAGGTACATGCATAAGGCCAAAAAAAAAAAGTCTCCGGTTTCTGGTATGGAGCTTGCCCAAAAAGTGGTGCGGCGACGCGGCTTTTTTTTTTTTTTTACCTGTTTTTTTTGCTTCAAATGTAGGCTGATGACTGCAAATGGTGCCCGACTAAACTTAGTGCCAATATTATGGGAGACCAGAGTGGCCACATAAAGCTTATTCTCGATCATAACCCCATCTAAAAACACGTTGAAATTGTGCAGCAGCAGGATTCCAGTCAAACAAGTGAGTTTGGCGGTTTTGAGACATCATCTTTTATTGAAAAAAAAACTTTTTCATTTTGCCGACGCGCATGGTTACGGCGACGCGCGCGCATACCAGAAACCGGAGACTTTTTTTTTTGGCCTAATGATTGTCCATATCATTTCAATTAATTATTTCTTCACCCATTTCCCTTTCTTACAGGTGTTTTGTATCGTCTCCTTATGCGGTTTATATATACCAAAAGCTGCACTTCTTTCCAACGCCGGTGCAAATTTGTAAGTTTTTATAAATCTGAACATGGAGTACCTTTTGCCTTATTCAGGTTCTTCTGCACACAAAAAAAACAATTCTCAAATAAAATAAATGAAGATCGTAATTTCAAAAACGCCAAATGTGGAAATTGGCACCAATCCTCGTTCTGCTGAGTAGGGTGTAAAATATGCCAAAAGAATTGGTTCAATAATTCAGCAAAAAAAGCATGTCAACAAATCTCAGATATACCACTTTGCCTTTTATCCTCGATGTCTTGGTCGTACAGGTTTTTATTCCCCACCATTTATAACTACCTGGCTCTCCTAGTGGACTACTTCGGCGGTGAGGATGCCATGATCAGCAAGATGAAGGACCATCCCATCAAGTACAGTCGGCCGCCATGTTGCTGCTGTTGCTGCTGCTGCCCGCCTGGAATGTGCTCTCGCGTCCTGAAAAGGTGACGTCTCAGTTGTAAAGTTGTTATGGTCAAACTTTCTCTGGTGCCCTATAAGTTGGTAAGGTCAGGCCCGGATAATCCAATAGGCACAGTAGGCACTGTGTCTAGGTCCTACGAAAAAATCCGGGGCCTACGAAGAATGAGGGGGCCAAAATACCGCAGTGTGCCATAAAACACACATATACACCCACCCACACGCAGAGAAAAGTTTTTAAAAGTGTTTAAAACATTTTTTAAAAGTTTTTGGGTCTCTCAGAATTTTCGTTCACCAACTGATGCTGTACAATGAACATCATGTAGGCAGTCATGTAGGCCCTACGTAAAGTCTGTCTTTCTGAAGCACGGTGCCAACCATAGGCGTCGATTTACAGGGGACATGTCGGTGTCCCCCCCCCCCCCACTATTTTCGTACCCGAATATGCACAATTATTTAGCGTAGATTTGATTCTATAGCTCAGAATATAGCTGATTCAATTACTCCAAAACGGCGGAAATAACGTTTAAATTATGATCTTTTGCTAAACAAAAAAAAATGGTTCAAGTGTTCAGAAATTGTCTCAGAGAGCGCCACAGAGCATCTAGAACCCCACGCCGTTTAAGCTTCAAGCTCGCATTTATTCTGATCAACTTGAAGATGCACATGTATGTACCACCCCAATACTTTGAGAAGCGATAAACGCTCTAGGTACCAACTGGCTTTTACAGCTAGGATCTACACCAGTTTACCCTGACTTGATTTGTAGGGCCTACAGTGTTATGTACTTTGAATTTGGTGCCGCTGCCTAGGGCGGAGTAGTGCAGAACTGGTGCCTCTATAGGGCCTACGAAACGCTTTAAATCCGGACCTGGGTCACGGTGTCAAACCAGTGAATATTGGAATAGAAAGGGGAAAGGAGCCCCCCGAGCGTCAAAAACAGCCTACCAGTCCGTTGGTCAGACCCTTCTAAATTGTCCCCCCCCCCTCTCTCCTAGAAAGTTTGGTTTTGGATCTGCAAGTGTCGTATAGGATTAGTGGATTACCCCGAAACACCATGATTGTTTTTAATTACATATTTCTGAAGGTAACTACAAGAGGTAGGAATTGACCTTCTTCCAATTGAAACACGGGACAGATAACACGATGGAGAGAAACAAGGACCAGGCAAGGAATTCCAAAGACATGCAACACACACAGAAAAACAAATTATTGGAACACTGTATTGATGGGATGAATCCGGTTCGCTGTGCTTACGAGATGCACCAAAAGAATCAAGTGAATAGCGCCATGAGACCAACTTTACTATAGGCTTGGTTTTTTGGGGGTTTTGGGTTTTTTTTTTTTTTTTTTTAGAGGGATGTTGTAATTCAACATCCTTTTATTGACGTCTTTTACGAAGGAAAATACAATTAAAGATCTTTGCAACTCTTTAATTTCTTACAATAATTTGTTTGATTTCCAGAAAGCAGTTCAACAGACTCGAGCTACTCGTCATGCAGATTTCAGTAGTGCGACCCTTACTTTTGTTTCTGTCCGAAATGTTCGTGCTGGACGGGACTTTCCCAGTGGACAATCCATTTGTGAGTGTCAAGATGGTGATATCTTACATTTCGTATCAAGTTTGTGAGTAATCAGCGTTAGGTACCAGTGTCCATTATTACTCGGTATACAGCGTGCCCCAATAAACATTGTGCATGAAGAAGTTGCCGATTTGCTCAAAAGGTGGACAGACTACCTAATCAAATTTTATATTATTTTAAAGCCTATGGTCTTGTTTATAATTGGTCAAAATATCAAGAAAATCCATCAATGCAAATCAGAGATATCGTTCAGTTTGTAAGGCTATATTATTTTCCTCCTGCACAATTAGAATCCTGTAGATAAGCTTAGGCCACACATTTCAGCTGTCAAAGAAGATTGCAAGTTCATTGTCCTTGGAAATCTCTGTCAAACACTAAACACCTGATACTAGACATTCCAAGTGGTATTAGATTTGATTATATAATGTTATGTACCCAAAATGTTATCTGTGAACACTCTTATCCAAATGCAACATACAGGCCATGCAATATTTCAAGCACTGCGTAACACATACCAATAACCCAATAATTGGTATATACAAGCAAATACTAAGTGTGGAATTATATTAATTAAAAATACATAGCTTTACCAAATCAAAAATATCTCTGGTTAGCATTGTTGGATTTTCTTGATTTTTCCACCAATTATAAACTAGACCATAGTTTTGTAAATGCTGTAATATTTGAAAAGCCAGTCTGGCTAACTTTTGAGAAAATCAGCGATTTCTTCATGCGCAATGTTTATTGGGACACGCTGTATAAGCATCACCAATTTGATTTTGAGAACGCGGCACTCACAATGTCACGATGTCATAAAGAAGACCACCCTTGATCGGTTGGACAAAATCGAGGAGTCCGCAAGTTGCAGACTCTTGATATCTGTCCTATTTGTTTTTTAATGAAACAAACATATTGCATTGTAGTGGCATGCACTGTATAGTTGGTCAAATGACCATGGATTTTTATCCTATTGGATACTTGATAGGTACAGGCATAGCAAAGAAGACATGGCTTGACTCACAAAAATGCATAACTTATTTCCATGATATTATTCAAAAAATGACCGAATTATTTGATTACAAAAATGATTAGTATAGTGTTTTTAAATCAGTTTCCAAGCCATGGTTACCATGGACACCCTATAGACGTTGTACTGGAACCACAATATTGACCCTTGATAAAAGTTAGGGAAAGTCACCAAATTTCATGACGATCGGCAAAGCTTTCTGGAGCTATTACACGAAGATTGATATGGGGCACGTTGCGCAACCCTGGTCCTGATATGGTTAAACATCCTACACTCTCTTCCCCTTTTTCTTTTTCAAATCTAGAATTACATGGCTCCTGGTCTCTACATACAAATCTTGACAGTGGGGAGCACGTTGACAGCAATGCAGGTCCTGGGAACCCTGAACGCATCGTGCAGGCCACACCTCAAGCAGTACAGCACCCAATCCAAGTTCCTGATCGTTCAGTTTGCTCTCCTCATGTGTAACGTCCAGAACACACTGATCAACTTCATCTTGAACGGACTGGGCGGCTGCGGCAACCCGTACCCATACAAGTCCCGGGACTACAGTGAGTGGGTCAAGAAAAAGTGCACTGGCAATGCAAGGAGGGGGGGGGGTAATCAGGGCGGCTGGTCCAATGCAGGGGACAATCAGGGGGCCCTCATTTGCTGGAGGGGGCACTCAATGAGCTTGGGGGGGGGGGGGAATGGAGAGATTAGAATTCTGATTTTTTTTTATTGTCCTCAAATTCTTAGTGGGTGAGACACAAGTGGAGGACAGAAGCCTCGAATGGGGACCCGTGCCCCCATGCTCCCACCTCCTAGTTACGCCCCCATTCCCAACCTCCGAGTTACCCCTCTTACATAATGCCCTTCGTGATCGGCCGCGGGGCCTCATCAGATGATCAGTGTCACGGGCGTCGTGGGGGGGGCAAGGGGGGTGCTTACCCCCCCCCCCCCGGAAAAGCCACACACACAAAAAAAAAAAAGAAAGAAAGAAAAGGAGACGCGAAGTCATATTGGTGTAAATTTAAAGGGTTGGGGGCAAAATGTCCCTGCCCCCGCTAAAATTGATAAATCGAGAATATATGTTGAGAAATACAGGAATTTTTTTGGAAAAAAAAGTTTTGCCCCCCCCCCTCTAGAAAAATCCTGGCGACGCCCATGATCAGTGTACATTCTGTGCCCAAACGAAATGCTGACCACGAAATATGATTTATCAAAAGAATTTACAGAGGTCATAGTGTACTCCTGGATGGGGAAATAGGATAGGAAATAGGATCTTTTATGACTTCTGTACCATCTTATCTTATAAATAGCTAATTTGCGGTACCCGCTGCTACATGTACATCACATTCGAACAAGCCAACCGGTGGTCGAGTGGTTAGACGTGTGCACTAGAAAGCAGGAGGTCGTGGGTTCGAGTCCACCTGAGTGATTGTTTCCAACTTTCACTCGGGAGGTAACACACTGAGCATTAAGGGCTGCTAACGTCGGTCAAGGGCAAAAAAGTAACGTTTACTTCTTTCTTTTGTTGTCCATCTTTTCTCGCAGTATGGAACTGCTTCCTGATAATCCTGGAGAGCCTGATATTCCAGCCGATCTGCATAAAATACCTCCGCACCTTGAAGGGTAACGTGCTGTTCATTCCGCAGAAGCTGAAGAAGTCCAAGACCTACGCGGGCACGTCGCTAATGAAGGCCGGCCAAAAAGGGCTCTTGGAGGAGGCCACGGAAGCGGCGGACTTAGACGGGGCCTCGGAGAAGACACCGCTGGTCATGCGCCGAGCGCGCAGTCACAGCGACATCAAAGAGGGTTACGGAAGTGTCATAACGGTATAGAGGCGAATGGGGACTTATGGTCGGTTGAGTTAGAAGAGGGTAGCACATGCAAACGTCGTTAACTTTTTGATGTGAAGTGCCCATTGCCCGAAGTGTGCCAGATGAAATAACAATGCAAAATGGTTATTTGCAACTGTTTCCAAGCGGAAAACGTTTCCCGTACGCGTACCATTTTCTAACGGCCCCTTATTATTACATAATTATAGAAACGGTGCGGTGCGGTTCGGAAGAAAAAAATAAGTGGTTATATTATTATTATTCTGCGTGGTTATTTCACCTGGCATACCAGACAAATTCGCGTTTGTGTTCGCTTTCGCGCCGAGCATGAACCAGCCATTGAGGACGTCTTGTGACCGCTCGACCTGGGCCAAGCTACACGCAGCTGTCGAAATCACACCGAATTTTGTAGAGCAGAGGTTACCAAATTACATCCGCTGATTATTGAATTTTTACCCAATATTTCGTCTGCACTGGGCCAGTTTGAAGGCATGTTGTTGATCACTAGCACTACCTTCATAACGGACGAGAGGCGATTAAAATCAGTATCGGTCTCTTGCAATGTTTAATGTTGTTTTTTGTTCGGGTTACGTTAACTTTGTGGGGGCAAGGCAACAGGTTTCCTACGCGTGTAGTGCGGACAGGCTCATCCTCGACTGCTGAGCGTGCGGCGCGTGCGCAAAATGAACAACCAATCAAATGGAAAAGACTGACCTCTTTATGCGTGACGTCAAGGTTGACAACCAATCACGGTATTCTCATCTGACCTTATACATAATAAAAATGGCTCAGTGCGAAACTTTCCAATAAAACTTTACAGAAGTTGTGTCGGATGGGAACGTCTTTACAGTATTTCGAATTTCATTAGTATTAACAAAATATCCTTTTCCTCCATATCTAAGCTCGGTTCGTTTTTTGCAAGTTATTAACTCCTATTACCTACATGCATGTAAATACGCAAAACAAGTTTAAACCCATTGAGGTGAAATACCAAAACCTCTTGGTTTGGTTTGAAACTTGTCGCCTTCATCTTATAATCTCATTTCTTTCTTCATCATCAAAGCAAAACTGGCATAAATAGATTTCAAACACTGTAAAAATGAAGTCATTGTCCAGTTTGAATTGCTGTTTATTCAACTATAAGGCATGATTCATTGCATTCGTTGTAAAAACTGTTGAAATTTACGAAACTTCTCTAAGGAAAAAGTAAGGACAGGTACACCTACGCCTAATAAGAATTAGTTTCGAAAACATGATGATTTCACTGACTTTTTTTGGATGTAGAATTAGAGTGACATAAAAACATAACCAAGGAAAATACTTGTTGATAGTGCTGAAGTGCTGTTTCTGGTATTGGCCATCTAAACCAGAATATTCTTAAACGAACCAAAAAGAAATTAACAAGAACATTTAGTGAACAAAAATAACTTTCGAAAAGACCAGCATGCAGAAAAAACACCAAAATAGAATAACAATATTTAGTACTTTAGAAGTAAGACTTGTATATAGCTATAATAAACATAAACATTAAGCATGTAATAACGTCTCTGTAGTATATATTTCTCTAGAACTATACCATTGGGTGTGGCCAAAGTGTGAAACATTTAGCGAATGGCAATAAAACATTCCGTTTAGCATGCACAAAAAAAAATCTGGTAAGATTATGGCCACAGTGTGCATAGACACTTCAGCAGATGCCCTTTTTTACCCTAAATAGAATCTAGAATCTGTTTCAGTGCTTATCTGAGATTTGTTAGTCAAGTGTGTTTAAAGTACAGTTTTTGTGCTTGTTTTGTAAAAATTTTGTTCAGCATTTATCTGAAATATACACTTGACCGTTGTTTTTAATCTTGTGCTGTTGCGAACAAATACATTAAGTGTTTGTACATGTGTATTAGTGTAATGGATTTACATGGCAGGAACAAACACAGAAAAAAATTCTTCCGAATTTGATGACAGAGATGTGTGACTTTCGTGTATTCATTCGCCCCTGTATTCCTTTATGTATTGATAAGAAAACCCATGGAATCACCTAAAAGGAAACAAGAGTGTTAACTACACTGCAACCGTTAAGAAAACTCCTAACTTAAAAAAAATCATAGAATTGTTGGCCTTTTGAGTAGTTCGGATTCTACAATTTAAAAAAAAAAAACCTCAGCCGCTTTATCTGTAATTTGTTAACCCATCTGACACAAGCAATGTTAAAGAATAATGACAGTTAAGTGAAATGTGGAGAATTCATTCTTAACAACTGGGGAGACATTTGGTCTAGTAGCTCCGTCCGAATAGACAGTAAAACTTAGCAGGCTTGTCGCAGTCTGGGTGAACGCACTTGGTGTCCTTGGCAATCTCAGCCGGCTGCTTGAAGGGGATGCATAGACCCTTGGCACCCATCGAGGGCGCCCCAACTTCCACATCTTGACCCCTGGAGACATAAAGCGAAGGGAACATTCTCTTAGAGCTAAACTTTGACATAACTTGATATCTGAGGTCAATGTCATGGAGATAAGCACGAAATACTACGGGGTGACCCAAATGTCAGGACTATTGTTTTAGTGAAATTCTGCATGTAGCACTTTGAAAATCTAGGATATGAAAGCCCAATTCATAAGCTTTCTTTTAGTACAAGAATCATTAAAATCACTCATGTACTTTTCAAGTTACAGAATTTTAAACACAACCACCATTTTAAAGTTCTGTCCACAGATCACAAAAAAAGGTGTGCGTTCTTTCAGCAAAACGAAAACAATTCACACACATCCCTATGTGATTTCTTTTCGTTTTGCTGAAAGAACACTTACCTTCTTGTGATCCGTGGACAGAACTTTAAAACGGTGGTTGTGTTTAGACATCATCTATCATTGAAAAAAAAACTTTTTCATTTTGCCGACGCGCATGGCTACGGCGACGCGCGCGCATACCAGAAACCGGAGACTTTTTTTTTTTGGCCTTATGAAAGTACTACAAGCAGAATTTCACTAAAACAAAAGTCCTGACATTTGGGTTTCGCTTTTGTTGACTCACCCTGTATTGAGCTCAGCTCAGCAAAAAAATCAGTGGGGAACCAGCTATGGACTCTGTTGCACAAGTACCCCCTCGACAGGCTTCAAAGGGAGAGTTGGGGGAGACCACTGGGAGGGATATTCGAACGCATTGTATGCGACACCTTATGCTCACACAAAGACGCTATGGGTCAATGCACAATTTCATGCAGGGTGTCTCATCCACTGGGCCGTCGCAAGTGGTCACAAAGCGCAATCTACTGTTCGTGCATGGAGTCCATAGCAAAGCAGCGCATGTTTTTTTAGGCAGCAACCTGTTTCTATTTGCGAGTATAGACCTTTATCATGCTGCCACCTTTTCAGTCAAGCTCCCTGTATCCACTAACAGTACTGAATGATAATGGTTTTGTGTGCAAATAGGAACCAGACTATTTTTCCTTCCAGCCTCGCTCTGGTTACGTTGATTGGAATAGGAAAAAACCAAGATGGCTGCAACATGATAATGGTCTATTTCTGTGTTTAGCACATTACTGTGCTGAGGCAGCTCTATTAAACTTAGCACACAATTCCTCAATACACCGGGGAAAAAATGGGTTGGGCAAGACAACTTACCAGCCAACATGTCATGTGACATATATCGCTTGTAACTGGGTCCCTCCTAACTTTTGCAGAAAAAAAGTATTTTCCTGAGCAAAGTTTCTTGTTCTTAAAGTCACTCATCATTATGGACAATTTTCAGAAATTAATAAATTAAGACTACATAATAATAGAAAAAACTTTGAACTTCGAAGCTGCCTCAATCAATACTGGCTAACTCTGACTCGCTACCCCCCCCCCCAAAAAAAACCATCCCAAATCACACAAGCATTGTTTCTTCCTATTAAAAGTTTGAAAGCAAATTGTATGAGATGTATGAGAAAGAAGATTTTCATTTGACATATGTGACCCTCCGGCACAAAACCAGTCAATTGGACCAGTTTTTAAAAACTAAGACTATGGGCTCATTGGAAAGGACAAGGAATAAGCCATTCTATGGCATATACAGCATGTGTCAATAAAAACGCAGGATTAGAAACAAAAATATTAAGAATATAAAACACCCCTATTCATCATAATGTTAACCCTCTTTTCAAAGTACCTTTCCTTCTCTTCACTATGCTTTTTATCCCATCTCATTTGGACAATCCTGTCCAGAGATAGAGTACATTGAAGAAGGGTTATAAATTCCAAGCTGGTCTGATTTGTGAAATCACACATACCTAATGAAAGGTTTGAATTCAGTACAGGTGAAAGTATTTGTGGATCACAAAGAAGGACATGTGTGGCAGGATTAGGCTTACATAATCCTTTAGTCCACAATCAATGTTATTAGTCAATAATTCATGATGCTTTGAAACAATGATAGTCCAGTTATTAAATTTAAGTGATACTTATCATCAGTTGTTTCAAAGAAAGTTTTGTTCTGGTTTAATTGTCTTCAATGTATACCTGCATTGTACATAACTGGTCGTTGTGTTAAGGTCATTGAATCAGACCAACCCGCTTCAGAAGGGCTTCACAAAACTTGTCATAACTTTTGAACCAAAAGTCCAAATTCCACCAAACAAAAATCTTATCAAAGATGAAATTATGGACAATCAAATCCTTATCAAATTAGGCACACCAGTAGCATAATTTTCTCAGAAAAAAAATCACTTTGAATCCTGCGTTTTTATTGACACACGCTGTAGAGTAGGGAAATCGGACAAAATCTGACAAGAGATTCAGGTATTTTAAGTGCCGAATATTTATCAATATTGTACATGTATGTACATGTATTATACAGGGTGAGTAATAAAAAACGAAATCCAAATGTCAGGACCATTGTTTTAGTGAAGTTCTGCATGTACCACTTTCAAAATCTAGGATACGAAAGCCCAATTCATAAGCTTTCTTTTAGTACAAGAATCTTTCAAATCACTTATGTACTTTTTAAGGTAGGGAATTGTAAACACACCACCGTTTTAAAGTTCTGTCCACAGATCACAAAAAGTTAAGTGTTCTTTCAGCAAAACGAAAACAAATCACATAGGGATGTGTGTGAATTGTTTTCGTTTTGCTGAAAGAACACGTTCGGGGTTTTTTACTCACCCTGTAGACTGCATTATTGCCTGTATCTCAAAAATTTGACCGTACGACTTCGGACTGATTTTGAGCTCGAGTGTCACACATAGCATACATTGACATGGGGTTCTGACTAGCTTACCTTGCACTTTCCTTCTTAATCTTGTCTTCACATGACATATCTCCACAGAAGGGAGCTTGGATAAGCTGGGGGAATACAGGATGACATTGTTATTGAATAGCTATCAATTGTCAATCTTGTTTCTTCTCGAAACAAATTCTCATAGAAGACGATCGTTACATGGGTTGTTCAAACAAACTGCAGCTTCATCTCTGATTTTCGTTTCAGGATCTTTTTAGGCCCCTGACTAGAGATTTTCTGTGGGAGAGTGTGGCACTAGCGGTTAGGGTTCGTGACTCACGGCCAGCGGGTTAAGAGTTCGAATCCAGCTGCTGGTCATTTGTTGTGTCCCTGGGCAATCCACTTCACTCCCACTTGCCTCTCTCCACCAAGGAGTTTAAATGGGTACCGGCATTAGCTGGGGAGAAAACTGCGATGGACTGGCATAGAAATATTCTCAGTTGTTTTATGCCCAGAAAAACCGGAGGTAAATGCCGGCCTGATGGGCCACATAGGCTTATGACACATTTACTAACTAGGGATATTCTAGGGGATTTTCAAATGGATATTCTAGGTTAAAAAACACCTTGTTTTGTTTCAGGAACATCCATCATTTAATCATGTTAATAGGAGGCCAAAAAGCGACTTCCATTTAGTTGGGACATAAAAGACTCTGAAATAATTCTAGTTCCAGAAATGAAGCCGCAGAAAAAGCTGAGGTTTGAAAAACCATATTTGGGTAATCATTAAACCTCAGCAATAATATCCATAGCCGTCTAAGGTAGAACTGTGCTGAATATAACGAATATATGACTACGTGATTATCAATTGAATATGTACATGTAAATAGCAGTTATTTCATCAGATGGAATTTTGCGTTGGGGTGATGTAAAAAAAATGTGAATGGTCTTGAGGAGGTGATGAATAACCATATTACTTTAATGGTATAAATTGCGTGGTTTTATTGTTTGTCAAGTACCAAACTTGTCCAAAAGCCACCTTTATGCATGATTTGAGAGCTTCCATGAAGACAATTAGCTCAAATGTCTTCTTTAAAAATTGTTCGAATATCAGCCGTTCCGAGGCCTTTTCTTTACATCATTTTAATAAGCTCGTCTATACAGAGATGAAACTGGCCTTAGCAAAAAAAAATCAGGATTCCACCCCCCCCCCTCCCCCTAAGATCTCGGCCATCGAGTGACGACAAATTTTGAAATTCGGTACATGCATAGAGCAACTCATCATGAACATACCCAAGAAATTTTATGACTATAGGTCAAAGGGTTTTGGAATTATGGCTAATTAATTATTCATATGTACAAATGGTAATTCTGCGCTGTGTACATGACGTACATATGGGAAAATTCAGTTTTCACGGCGCATGCGCGGCAACCCGTGGTCCTATTTTTATGTTTTTGTATCAAAAGATGCGCAAGGCTTGAGGCTAAAAAATCATAACAGCTCTGGTCGCGGAAAAAAAACTCAAGGCTATCGCGGAAAAAGTTGAGGGGGGGGGGGGGATTCCGGATTAACGCACCTTTCTATTTCGGAGAGATTATCCTCGTGTTTGACCATCCGTAACATTTTTGTAGTGACTATAGCATCATGCATGCACACACCGCATGCACAATGTTTGTGTACGTGTGCCGCAGTGATTTTTCCGTGTCATAGGTCAATGTTTAACCTGTTCTCAAACCGGAAAAGGGTCCGATCAGCGCTGGCCTAGGTGTTTCTACCGTAGAAACACTCAATTTCAACCGGTGAAAGAGATTAAAACTACGCTCGCGTTTAGTTTTACGTGCCGTTTTCATCGACCTTTCATCGCCTTTTTTTTCTCCAAATTATAGTTTTTAAAAAAAATCACATTTTGTGGAAATATCGTTACAAAATCTAATTTTGTGGGACACATTGTAAGAAAATCAGAAATTTCATTAGAAAAGTTAAAAAGTCTGTTTTCTGATTAAGATCAGAAAAGTTTCATCTCTGTCCATAATTTTTTGACAAGCCAAGACGCAGGCAAATCCTGATCCGTGGTCAGTTTACGCTGAAGTATGTTAAACTTGATCAGTGCATTTAAAACATTTACCTATTCAATCAAGTCCAAGTTAGAATATCCGAATACTAAAGTATTTGAATATGCACAGCCCTAATCTGAGGTCAACTTGAATATATGTGGGCAACCCATTTAAACTTACATTTTTCTTTTCCACATTTGAGCAGAAGTCGTCCCAAGTTGTGACCACTTTCAGGTGGTCATTCATGTCCTTGCTTGCCCTGCCAAGTAAAAGTATGTCACTCGGTCAAAAGGATGAACCCTAAAAATAGGACTGCAGATACATGACCGAATCCCTAGCAACTATGGCAGCCATCTTGGCAAAAACAGTTACAGCACAAACTCAATGTGCAATGTGATGTCATCAATGCGAAACGTGCATTGATACCATAGTGACTATCCGGGTACTTTTTCTGAAGGCACACAATACAATATTGCTTCTTGCTGGCCTGATATAAATAATAAGAGGATAAATACTTGCTTTGCCGATTTAAAACGATATGTTTAAAACCGGCACAGGGGTCTCGACGCTATATTCGGCTCAGGCAATTATCGGTGACCAGGCCCCTGGGGCTGGTTTAAGCGTACTTGTTTAATACTGGCCACGCACATATTTATTCCCATTCATAAATACCTTTATAAAGTCACAAGTCAAAAATTATACATTTTCAATGATTCTGTTTAGCACTTTTACTTCAGGTTTTTTAAAACACCCCTCTAGCTATGTTATGGTACGTGCCTCTTAGTAGTCGTAAACATCTCCTTACATGGATACCGTGTACTGCGCAATGTGGCGCAGAATGCAGCATTGCCGGTGAATGTGAATTAATGACTCTCGAAATACAGACTCATTGGAAGTATTGCGAATGCCTAAGTGAAGAATGTGGATGTTCAACCAATAAAAGGGCTCTCGACCAATAGGAATGAGTTAACTGTCTCAGGTATTTATGACTAATAAATACTACACGATTCTCTTGGTTTGTGTGCATGGTTCATGCCATTACTAAGGATTCTTTGCTTAAATTGTGCGTGCACAATAAATCCTAATGATAAATTATCATAACAATTAAATACTTTTTATATAAATACTACTGCCTGACTTACTTGGCATAGAGGTTGTTTTGGATATCTTCCAACATCTCCTTGACCTTGCTGACTGCCTCGCTCTCTTTGTAGGTGAATCTGTCCCTGGTATCCCGGCGCACCAACACAAGCTCTTTCTGCTCGACATCACGTGGGCCTAGGTCTACACGGATTGGCACACCCTGTACATGCACAAATCAACATCTCAAACATGACTGGGTTTCAGTGTGGTATTGTAAAGAGGCCAATTTCTTTTAAAACACATGTGTTAGATAGATAACATTTGTCAGAATATTTGTCATGAATAATTTCGAACCAAGTCTCGTGAGTTTTGAACGGAGCACCATCTACTGTTCATACAAGGAGTCCATACCGTACCATCAAGAAGAACATTTCTTCCATAATAGACTGACTTTATGGGCATATTCCAAACCCTGTTCTCATGTTGAATGAACACGAGAATGGCATTTCAATTGACCAGAACAAACACGCGAACGGTATCGCGAACAGGATTTCACTCCCCACTTATTTGAGAGTAGATGAGGAACGTCAAGAACAAAGATGGCGAATTTAGGCCCCTACCTGAATTTGCATTTATTTGTGTGCATACAATTTAAAGCACTCATTCAGTGCAGTAATGATAAAAGAAAATAAAACAGTACGTGGTCATAGAGTGGGTTTGTCAGTCTTGTCTTTTCCACATTTGATAGCTGTTTCGGGATTTCAATTATTTTCAAATCAATTCAGTTAATTGTCCCTACTCATCATTCGGCATTTTAATACAGCGGTTGCCATCGAGGATTTGGAGGATTTTAAGGGAAATAAAGTCTGACTTTCATTATGTTCGAATTCATTTTTTTTTTCTAAATTTTATCTCATGTTTTTAAGAGAATTAAAGTGCAAAATGTCATTGTGTACACCCCATGTGGATGTCGTTTGGGAAAAAAATTGCATGCTGGGGGGGGTGTTAGGCATATTATGGTTTTATTGGACCAGTCTAAGCATCAGCAAGTTCTACAAACCTTGAGTTCCCAGTGATTGTATTTCCAGCCAGGGCTGTAGTTGTCCCGGTTGTCTTGACGCACTTTGATCCCGGCTGCTTTGAGTTTGGCTGCGTATTCATCGCATTTGCTGAGCAGTTTCTCCTTCACCTCATTGGTGGTCGTCTTGGTGATTCCGCAGGGCACAATGATCACCTGATTAAACAAGAAAAAGCCTTTATTGATAAACAGAAACACCTGGAAAAACTAAAAAATTGCAAACATTGGACAGAAAATAACTTCACATGTTTCTTAACTGAAGTACATACATGTAAAGATGCTAAATTTGTGTAATTTAGGATTTACAGGGAAGATTTAAAAGGTTTTCTTCTTTTTTGTTAAGGGAGGGGTGAGGACCAGGTCTTGGTTTGGGTCTAATAATTCTTCATTTCTAAGGAATCATGTTATATTTAGCACTATGCACATATTTGTTGCTATAAAAGCTTATGCATATTTTTGCCTTTAGTAAGTCATTATGGTACATGTTCATTATTCTTACAGTATGTGCCCCCCCCCAAAAAAATGGCTACCCCTCAACCCAAATTGGCCAAAATTTTAAACTTGCCATCTTGCGATTGTCACAAACTTTCAGAAAATACTGAAGATATATTGAGTTCAAGACATTCTCTTGATAGGAGTGATAATTGCTTTAACCATTGTGAGTGACATCAATAAAACCTTACAAGAAACCCTGGATTCATTCAAATCTCACAAAAAATGCCACTATAAATAGCTCCCAACAAAACGTTGCATATTGCAGACATTTATAATAAGTATCTTACATGAAACATTCTTTGATATATAAGCTTCCAAATTTCATTTAATCCCCCCCCCCCCTTTCCTGGTAAAAAAAAAAAATTCAGAGATCTTTATCCCCATGTAAATTTTTTGAATAGGCTCATCATCCTTGCATAAACAAAACGTTTGAGAAAGTCAGATTGACCAAAGTATGAGATGAAAAAAATCAAATATGCCGTTTCTCAACACAGCAGCCTTTTTTTCATATTTGCTAACTGATATTCACGATTGTAATCTGTAAAAGAGCGCATGACAAAGTACACATCCTAGGCCATGCAAAAGACCAGTTCATATCAGAGACAAGCTGTCAACAATATTATCTAATCCAAGGGGGGAAAAACGAAAGATGTTGATTTTATTTTGTGGGCAAGCAAATGATAAGGGTGCACTACTTGTTTGAACTCACAGTTCATACAAAATAAATTAATCACCCACAAATGTATTGAAAATGAGATGTACTTAAATTTAGAGGTCCACCTTTACAAAACAATACCATATACACATAATGTGATGTCTGTTTTGTTTTCAACTGATGATGAAATATGAGTTCACACCTCTGGATCTTTTCGAAACCATTCTCTTGGTTTGAGAAATTTATTTTTTTTTTTGCTATTCCAGGGGGGCAAGCGCCCCCTTGCTGCCCCCCCCCCCCTCGCGACACCACGGCCATTCAGGAAAACTGATAAAAAAAAAACCTGTAAAACGCTTCTACAAACAAATTTTTACAGGCCCTATTATTGTCAAACAAACCTGCCCTCTTTCATGTCTTTCAAGAGGTGTGTTCAGAGTGTTTTTTGCCCCTCTTCTACATTTCTATTAAATCATGCAAAGCTCCTTTGAAGTCATGATAAGGTTACTCTTTTTTAAGTAAGTCAGGATTTACTTTTTTCATCTGCCAATTTACTTCCAATGTTTACAACTCCAAATGCTTTACTCCATTCCTCATCTTTGCCAGGTGGACAGTTTGTAGAATATTGGCGATTAAGAATTGGCCTAGTTTACGTTTGCCTTTTTTTTTTCTCTTTTGAGGATGTAGTTCTGGTGCAAGTTTATTACATAGGAAAATTGAGATATGAGCCTTGCCGAGGTCTATGTGAGAAAGTTTCAAATTTCTCAAGAATTTGACTGTGCAGAGTCTGTCTAAACAATTCTCATCCAAACAGAAGTTGTGAACAAAAAAAGGAGGCTATCAGAGGAAACCAAACGATGGAAAGTTGCATAAACCAGTTAGGCCTATTTGTCAAAGAGGGTCAACACCAACTAAAAACCCATCAAAGGCTAAATACAAAAGGATACCCCCGAATGATATACATATCATGCAGCAAACAGTAACCCTATAATCTACTGGCAGGAACTGTACAGTTGACCTTTGGTTTGCAGGATTTTATCAATGGTTGTGTTGGGTCCTTGGAAGTTCATCAATCAAAGTGCATACCCACTACCAGTAAATTTAGCACTAATTTTGCGTAAATGTAACAGTCATGGGGTACATTTCAAGTTGTTTTATGAGATTTTTGCATAATTTTCTTAATATGTTTTCAAATTAATGAGACGGAATAAGTTTTTTCTCCTCTGTTTACAACGACATCCAATTTAATGTACAAAAATACTCTTGGCCAATTAAGGCATTGTAATGACTTCTTTTGGGAACAGACAGGAATGTACATGTACATTCATTGAAGCATACCTCCTCAGTAACGTCATTCCAAATAAAATAAACAAATACCACAATCAACTTTTCTATACTACCAAATAAGAAAACAAAATTAAAGTAAAAAAAATGACTAAACAGAGCCCTCAATTGGTCAGGAATATTGACAATGGACAAGTGCTGGAAGACAGATTGGAGAACTGACCCAAAACTTGACAAAAAGAAAAAAAAGCCTCACAGCTTCTTCAGTTTCCTCTCAAATTTGGTGGCCATGCATTTTGTTGAAAAAATGTTGCTGGTCCCAGAGGGGACCAATACAAAATACAAAATTGGCCGAGTACCAGTTAACAACAATGAAACATAACATGACATTTTGGTTGGTAACCTATTTCCGCTAAACAAATCTCTTTGGTGCTTAGGAGAGTTCTGTTCAATTGGCCCCTGAGCATGCACATCTTGGTTCAACATGGCACTATCTACAGATTCTTAATGGAGTCTCTCAGGCCCGGTTTATCCAAGGTACTGTGCCTAGGGCCTACGAAAAATTTGGGGGCCTACGCGGTGGCCTTCGAAAATACTGCAGTGCCATAAAACACATACAGGCCTACCCAAACACACACACATACAAACGCATGTTCACCAGCGATCGTGGACATCCTATTGTCCCTATTTTGTTTGTACTCTAACTTTTTAGGAAGACTCCCATATGTTTTGTACACGACCCCAGTCGTGGACGTATGCTAAGAATCGTGGACGATATTGTTCACTTTTGTTCTCTGGGTTTTTTTGTCCACGGTATGAAAAGATGAACACGTATACCCACATGCAGAGAAAAGTTTTTAAAAGTTTGTACAAAGTTTTAGGATCTGTCTCAGAATTTTTGATTTCACCAACTGATGCTGTACATGTACGTCATGTAGGCATACACGTAGGCCCTACTATACAATTTAAGTGTAAAGTCTGTCATTCTGAAGCACGGTGCCAAGCATGGGCGTCGATCGTTAAGGGACGGGGGGGGGGGGGGGGACATGTCATCCCCCCCCCAAACTATTTTCGTCCTCGAATAAAAAATTGTAGCTGACATTTGATTCATAGCTCAGAATAGCTGTTTCAATGACTCCAAACTCGAAAATGATGTTAAAATTATGATTGTTCGCTAAAAAGAAGTTGGTTAAATTGGTCAAAAATTGCCTCAGATTGTGCCATAGAGCATCTATTTTTTTTCCGGGGCCCTTAAGCGGGCCCCAAACGACACCGTAATAGGCTTCACTCGCATTTAGCTCTAGTTCTGACCAAGATACACATGTATGTACCACCCCTCCCCCTCACCACTTTTGGGAAGTGATTGACGCCCTTGGTGCCAACAGGCTTTTAGAGCTAGGACCTACATGTATACCAGTTTGGCCTGGCTTGATTTGTACAGTGCTTTGTACTTTAAATTTGGTGTCGGTTTTTAGGGCGGAGTAGGGCCTACGGAACACTGGTGCCTAAGGCCTACGAAACACTTAATCCGGGCCTGGAGTTTCTATTGTCCTACCTGTACACAAGCTACTCGAGGTGGCAGTACCAGCCCCCTGTCATCTCCATGGACGAGGCACATGACACCGATGGTCCGGGTGGTGATACCCCACGAGTTCTGGTGAGCAAACTCATGAGATCCCTCCTGTTATCAAATAAAAAGCAATCCAAATTTTGAAATGTCTTTAACTGAAGGTTAATTTTGTTAACCCTCCATGGCCTTTTGGCTGGGATGCATCCTCAATTATGCAAAATCCTCTGGCTGCCTCCACATAAAAACAGGACACAGCCTCACTCCTCCAAAATCATCCAATTATTTCTTAAATTTGTTTTAATAGAGGTTGGGTGACAACTGCCTCAATCCTTCAAAATCCTGCAACTCACTTTTAAGACGTTAAAGCAGTGCCCATGATACCAGGAGCAGTGCGGATGATTTCTAGTATCATGCAGGATTACATTTATGTATGGTAATAAAAGCACAAACGATGCAAGCTACAGCTTAAGACCTTGACACAATAAATAATATAAATTGTAATGCTTGTAAAATTGTAATGCTTGTAAAATTGTAATGCTGTGGGCCAGTGTGGGGTGTTGTGGTCCAATGGTTACGGTGTTCGACTCGTGTGCCGTGGTGCATGGGTTCGAATCCTGACCGTGGGAACATGGTGCTTGTGCTCTTGAGCAAGGCACTTCACCATTATTGCTTCGTCCTTCGGATGGGACGTAAAGCCGTAGGTCCCGTGTGTTGTGTAATGCACGTAAAAGGACCCAGTAACACTTATCGCTAAGAGAAGGGGTTTGCCCCGGTGTTTCTGGCAGTGGCTGCAATATGCCCGGAGTACCTTGTAAACCATTATAAGGTGCTATATAACGGGTCTCATATTTTTAATAAAAACTTGCTTTAATAATAGACATATTGTGCAGCACCTTGAGTACCTAATTGTTGGTCGATACATGTGCTATAAAAGATAATACATGCGCTATATCAGTGCACATTCGGTCCTCTACCCTCACAGGTACCCAGTCATACTCCTGGGTGGAGAGGGACAATTGTAGTCAAGTGTCTTGCCCAAGGGCACAAACACCGTGTTTCTGGCAGGGTTCTAACCAACTCACCATCGTACATTATGAGTCAAACACCATAACAACTGGACCATGGCATTTTACAAAATCAACAGGCACCTTATAAGAGGCGTAACAGTCTCAATCCTCCAAAATCCTTTCAAAAGGGTCTGGTTGTTTTTGGAGGATTGAGGAGGGTTAGGGTGAACTGTAAAGCTCAAATGCTCCAATCCCTGCATTTATTTCACTAAAAATCCTGCTTATATTCCCAAAGAATCCAATGACACAAAGTGGGATCTCATTATCAAAATGATCACAATGGAAAAGGAAAAAGGGCTGAATCCTGCTTAATGTAACAAATTTCAACCACAGCAACTGCTGAGGTCTGCAGTCTTACAGAATCAAAAAGTAACTAGATTGTGAAGTGGGTCTACATCAAATAACATCAAACACCGATCCTCTCACGCCTCTAACCAGAAATTTTGGGAAGTCGTTTATCCTTGTGTAGAGGATCCGTGCATCAAATAACTTTATGATGAAAACCCATCCTTGTGAATTGCAGTATGGGGAATTTGGGGGGAAATTCTAAATGTCTGTTCTAAAATAGACATTCTGCAGGACAAATGGTGCTGTTTTAAAAGAGCTTACATTATTTGGGTCCTCAAACTTGATATCAAACATCTTGGAGAAGTTCTGGCCCAGGTGATGCGACGTAGCACCCTGTGGTATTAAAACAACATGCAAAAGAAAAGGATGAACTCCAATTTCAACGATCTCTAGAACATATGCTGTACTAGTTTGCATGCGTATGGTGCGAAGTACGCGCAGGTAATTTATTCTGAATCTGCACAAAGCAGAAGCGTCTTCACTTTGAGCGTCACGTGTCGTCAGCAATGAGTTTGAATGTCCCTCCCAGTGGTCTCCCCTAACTTTCCTGTCGTTAACAATGAGGGGGCACTATTGCACTGAGTCAATATAGACCTTCCTTTGCCAACCTGTAGGGTGTAACTATGGAACATTGCAAAAATATAGAATAGTATACACATACAGACTGGCAATGAGGTCACTAGTGCACGTCTATGCCGCCTGACCAGAAGAGGGTTCTATTTCCCCGAGGCCGAAGGCCGCGGGAAATAGAACCCTCTTCTGGTCACTCACAGGCCCGAGGAGAGCATAGACGTGCACTAGGGACCGAGTTTTGCCAGTCCATATTTGTTTTATAACTCACCTCTGTCCAATATTAAAAAAAAAAAAAACTTTCAGGGTTTTATTATTGAACTGTTTTAATTCAACAATTAACTCATAAGCGATTCAACTGTAAGCAATGCAACAATTAAAGGAACACTTTTAGTTTCCCTAGATTAAAGTTTTGAGTTTGTGTTTTGTCAGAGGGCGCTGTTACCAGTCAAACATTTTGAGTATAGTGCCCGACCAGGCACTATACTCTGGAAATTACACGTGCGTGATGTCTCGACGCGCGTCGAGTTTCATAAGGTGACAGATGAATGTTCCATTTCTGTCACCGAATGAAATTATTCTTTCCATTGCACGAATGTGAAACATTCATTATTTGTTTTTTGCAACGCCTGAATATATCCTTGTCATCTGATTGGTTGACTTGTGAACTGGTACATACATCAATGTTCTACTTTTTCAGACAAACTGGTGTCCCTTCCAATATCCGATTTATTCAAAACTGTTCAACAAGTTCAGAACTAGCTAGCATACTCAATTTATCTTGGTCTAAAACTATTTTAGAAGTAGGTTCAGAACTTTCATATCCAATTTATGTATTTTAATAACTGTTCTAAATAAGTTCAGAACTTCCATATTCATATTCAAATTTGTCTAATCGTTTAGCAGCAAATCTTATTTGCTTCTTTGTGTTAGCGTCAGCATTTAGAAAGGGTTCCGATATTTCTTCGGAGAACAAACAGAGATTCTCGCGTATCGTCTGCCAATTTGACATTCTGTGAATCAGATTCGTAATACAGCACCACCACTGGCAGTAATGAAACCGTGCAATGGAAGTTCTATTCACCGTGCAAAAGAACTTCCATTTTTTGTGTTGCGGCCACGCCTTTGCACTGGGACGATTTATTCAATGACATGTGATCAACGATCTAACAATCAGATGACGGGGATTTATTCAGGTGTTGTATAATTATGTATTTCCACACAAATAATTTGATTATTCAAAATATACACATAATATTATAAGATGGAATTTTGCGTCTGGGTGATATAAATCAAATTAGGTTTTTTCCATTCACCGACGTTTAAACCGAGTTAACGGGATCCGTTGGCTGGTTCGAATCTGATGTACATACATGTAGCAGCGGGTACTGCATGAACTATTATAAGATGGAATTTTGCGTTGGGGTGATATAAATCAAATTAGGTTTTTGCCCTTCACCGACATTTAAACACTGTATACTCAGTGAGTTACCTCCGGAGTGACAGTTGGAAAAAAGTCACTCTGGTGGGACTTGAACCCACGACCTCCTGCTTTCTAGTGCAGATGTCTTACCACTCGACCACCGAGCTAACGGGATCGGTTGGCCGGTTCGAATCTAATGTACATAGCAGCGGGTACCGCATGAACTATTATAAGATGGAATTTTGCGTCGGGGTGATATAAATCAAATTAGGTTTTGCCCTTCACCGACGTATTTTAAACACTGTATACTCAGTGTGTTACCTCCCAAGTGAAAGTTGGAAAAAATCACTCGGATGGGACTTGAACCCACGACCTCCTGCTTTCTAGTGCAGATGTCTTACCACTCGACCACCGAGCTAACGGGATCGGTTGGCTGGTTCGAATCTAATGTACATAGCAGCGGGTACCGCATGAACTATTATAAGATGGAATTTTGCGTCGGGGTGATATAAATCAAATTTGGTTTTTGCCCTTCAAAAATTATTCTTACCATTCAGGGCAATGGTAAGAATAATTTCATGAGGTGACAGAATGTTCACCTTGTGGAATGCAACATTCCGTCCGTCACCAAATGATATTATTCTTTCCATTGCATGAAATGTAAAACATTCATTATTTGTTTGATACAAAACCTGAATAAATCCTCGTCATCTGATTGGTCAGAGCCACCAATCGTGTGACCGTGCAATGGAACTTCTATTTTCCTTTTGGAACTTTTTTTCGGTGGTGCGGCCAGGTCGTTGGGTTTGGACCAATAATTCAATGACATGTGATCAACAACCCACCAATCAGATGACTGGTACTTATTCAGGCATTGTATAATATAAAATAAGGCAAAAAAAAAAAGTCTCCGGTTTCTGGTATGGAGCTTGCCCAAAAAGTGGTACGGCGACGCGGCTTTTTTTTTTTTTTTACCTGATTTTTTTGCTTCAAATGTCGGTTGATGACTGCAAATAGTGCCCGACTAAACTTAGTGCAAATATATGGGAGTCCAGAGAGGCAACATAAAGCTTATTCTCGACCATAACCCAATCTAAAAACACGTTAAAATTGTGCAGCAGCAGGATTCCAGTCAAACCAGTGAGATTGGTGGTTTCGAGACATCATCTTTCATTTTGCCGACGCGCATGGCTACGGTGACGCACGCGCATACCAGAAACCTGAGACTTTTTTTTTGGCCTAACCAACAAATGCCCACAGAGACCTAATAAAAATGCCTCTTTCTAACATAATGAGGGTGCTAATTTGTCATTTTTGGTACAAATCAGTCGACCAAGGCTTAAATTAGTGCCCTTATAGCAGCTGACACAAAATAATGCTCAATATTTATGAACCAAAGACAGGTCAGTACCTGAATGGCCCTACCACTGGCCGAAATGAAGGCCTCCACAGTGGTAGTGAAATCTCCGCCGGCAAACTTCTCCTTTACGGTCTTCTTTCCCCGGATCACGGGGATGGCTAAGAGGTACTCGTACACTTCGGCATAGTGCTCCAAGATCTTGTAGACTTCATCGACTGCGTCGGCGCGGTTGGCCCAGGCCGTGTGGCCTTCCTGCCAGAGGAACTCACGGGTGCGCAGGAAGGGCTGGGGGTGTTTGAACTCCCATCTCTGAAGAAGTTAGGAAAAAAATGAAGCTACAGAGGAGGAAAAACTACATTTTAGGCCAAAAAAAAATAATAATCGGTCTCTGATCAGACCGAAGTTCCGGAATTGATGCGGCGACGCATTTTTTTTTTTTTTCAAGCTTGAATTGTACAGACAAGGTGGGTACTTTTTTGGTTTTTTGTGTCCTCATTATACATTGGTGTCCTCCATAATTTGCCTTGGTGCCCTTTATCATTTGCCTTGGTGCAATTTCCCCATTCCTGTTGTGGCTTCCGTGTTAATTTGAAGGAAAAAAAAAGGTTGACGCGCATGACTAAAATCGACGCACGTGCTGACCAGAGACCGAGTACTTTTTTTTTGGCCTTAACACAAAAACTTAAGTTCCCTGTGCTAGTTGTAAGTTCCATCCTGAAATATAGATTTCTTAACTAAATTGCTATGTTTCTAGCAATACGAAAGTTATTCACTTTTGAATGAGATATCGACCGGAAAAAAATTGGCCCATGCTTACATGTTGTTATTGAATTATTACTTTACAATCTTAAATTATTGGCTGCCACACAATAATTCTGTTCCCCTGGGGTAAGTTGGCTCCCCCCCCCCCCCCCCCCCCCCCCTCCCTCCACAATCAGTATTGATAATGTACGGACCGGGCGCCAGTCTGCTCGCAAAGCAGACCTATCTGTGCCCAAAACAAAACTTTTTGAGAGGGTAGCAGATGTCTGAAAAGGGAAACGGAGGGTTTTGGTTGGAATAAAACATACAAATTTAAAATTTAATAAAATTTTCAATTTTTTTCTGATATCATTGCCACACAATTTGTTTTTAATGTCAATCCTACGTAGTTAGTAGACTGATGTCACGCAGACATTTTAATGTTAATTATATAAAAACCTACCATACCGTTTTACGCTAACGGTCTAATTTTTGACATGACGTTCTGAAAAAATCTTAATGTTTAAATGGACTAGGGCTATTAACAGAAATCGGTTTGCTGTAATGATCAGATGGATCGGATTTAATAAAGATAACACTCGAGTACATATTGAACCAGCTACCACTAGTGTATTATGTGTACACAAGATGGCTACCCACATAGAGAACACACTCACATGTTTATGTGCACTTGACAATAGAGGGCGCTGTGTATAATTAGTGGTACAGTTCAATGACGCCTATGGGTGCACGCCTGTAAATAGGCCAAAAATCCGTCCGCCGAGCTCATGAATAAAAGTTATACCCTCAAAATATTCTATATTAGAGACTTTTGAGAGCCATTCCATAAGGAATTGAAGAGATATGGTAATGAACCTCTGGCCCGGACTTGGGGCTTCCCATTCTGAACATTTTTTGATGCGATTGGGCTCGAAACTGGCGCTATTTTGCCATGTTGTGGAGGGATCGTTTTTCAAGGTGGCGACTTTCCCGCTCAGCGGAAAATAGGGGTCGTCTTCTTTGGGTGAGAATATCTTGAAAAGTCAATGGTCAACCCACCAAAAAAATGAAAAGAAAATGAAAGATGTCACATTGATCATCATTTTTCTGTGCAGCTTGAATACCTGTGAGAGTTTTGAGTATTTTTAAAAGAATTTTGAAGAATGCGCATTTAGCGCTAGTGTCTATGGGATTTTTTTTGCAGGGTTGCACCCCTATGAATGCACACGTTCACTGCATTTGCTTTGCAGCCCTGTGGAATAAACTGATCCACTCAGTCCCTGACATTTTGACCAATCACAGCCATGATTAATATCCGACATGTACGCACAAAGGTCCACCAAGACATGCATGACTTGGTTAAAGATATAGTCCATCATTTGTAATTTGTGCATTTTGTTCGTTTGAAGCAACAAAAGTGTTCAAAATCTAAAGAAGGGTACTGAACAACTAACCTGATGAAGTTTCAGCTCAGCTTCAGCTGTATATTCCAAGAAAAACAGCATTCTAGGATCTCAATTTCAAATCAAAAGTTGCTGAATCATGTTTTGAATTGGGCCTGAATTCAGCGTCCGAGACACGTTGTCACTGAGCCGATTGCAGTTACGCGATGTCGCGCACTGATCCGACGAATTATAGCAACCGCGCGTGCGTGTGCGTCGCGCCAATGCTTGCGCGCGCTTCGCAGAATAACAAAACGAACTACTAATTTAAATTTTCCTATGGTGCGTCTTAAGAGGCACCAGTAGAAAGGCCTTCTTTCGTTGATTACTTCAAAATGACAACTTGCCAGAAAGAATAATTTCACAGGTAGTTTAGTCCCCTTACTATCTTTCAACCAAGTATGTTTTTCAACAATAATTACGGCAGTTACTTTTCGGATAGCTGCAAATGATGGACTATAGCTTTAAGGTATTTGTACGTACCACAACGTTGCACCATTGATTCAGTTTGATTGGAAGATCCCTGTGTGACTGGACCCATTTGGCATATGTTGGGTACATCACTAGAAGAAAAGGAGAAAAAAAAGAAGAGTTTTTTATTAATGGAATAAATGTGTGCTTGGGGGAGGTTTTAAGCACTCTGTTTAAGACTGGTTGGAGTCTGGATGCTGATAATTACCCGAGCCGAAGGCGAGGGTAATTATCAGCATCCAGACTCCAACTGGTCTTAAACACTGTGGTTTATACCACCCAAGTACATATTCCCATTCATAAATACCTTGTAGGTCGAAAAATTAATAATGTCCACTGATTTTGTTCAACAATGTCACTTCATGTTTTTTTTCGAAACACCCCTCTAGCTATATAATGGAGTGTCCAGCTCGCGAATAAGTTGTAAACAACTCCTTTTATGGAGATTGGCACACCCGTCGTGCGTACTGCGCAAAGTTGCGCGGAATGCAGCTGTGGCAGTGCGTTTGGAATTTAGGATAAAGAAATACTGACTCACTGGTAGTATGAAGGTTTTCCACGTGATGTCACTTGACTGGCAAAGTCAGTTCAGGAAGCATACCAAGTTCGCGTAGGCGCACGTGTGCATTTTCGAATCTGTGTACTTCTAATGGCAACTCCGGGTACGCGAGAATGCGGAGAGACTTTGATAAGACAAGCGCATTTCCGTGCACATCTGCGTAAATTGAATGCTGACCGTCAAAACTCGCGTGACTGAAAAACCTCCATTGTGCATGCCTATGTGAGGATTGCGAACGTTCAACCAATAAAACTACTATTGGCCAATGACATGCAGACTGGAATATAAATAATCTTGGTCTTGGTTGCCATGCGTGGAACTCACCTGTCTCGCTAGTTGGTCGGATGGCAATTGGTTCTGCCATTTCGGTATTGCCCGACTTGGTAACCCAGGCAACCTTGGAGAGAAATGAACACACAAAAATGAAGCAATTATCAACTTTGTATCAAGAAACAGAATCCAAACAGTCATGCGGTTGCGAAGGGCAATTTCCAAAGGTTACGTAACACTTCATTTTGAATGAAACTACATGTGCACACACATGTTCACATTGGGGGGCGAAATCTTTGAAAATTAATTTCTCCTGTTTGGAAGACGGTATCTTCATGCAACTTTCAGGGTTTACTTTCCTCATTATGATCCAAGTATGTGCTAAAAATCGTTGTGATGTGTTCATTACTGTCGTTGAAATTGGAAAAATAGGCCTGGCTACGTGCATCATTAGAAGTTGTAACACTGACGTTTGCAATAGCTGTCAATCTTTTCAAGCCTCACGAATATTAATAAAGGTTCCTATCCATTATGGTGTGCAGTAAACATTTTGAGAAAAGCCTCCTTCACGAGTTATTAATTGATAAATATCACCCTTTTTGCCGGCTTCCATTGGTCGAAAACCGAGACCCACGCCAAAACACGCCGAGTGACGCTAATGAATATGCTAATCTACAATACGATATTGTGTGGCTTGGCCGAAATTGGTCAACCGTAGCACCTAAGGCGCTTTGCTGAACAATGCACGTGACTTGGGTCGGCAGAAATCATCGTCAAAATTTTCCATGGAGATCTTTCAAATTGTAGCACTAGCGTTTGCAACAACATATTAAGCTGAAATTCAGAATATACTTAGATGATATAAGTGTTCAACTCGGGAAATAACAATTTTGAGAAATTCCTAGAAAAAGATACAAATACAGAGATTTGGGGAGGTTTTCGAACGATTTCTTCCAGACTTGAAGGTCAGCTATACCAGTAACCAGTATTGACGTTTCGACATCGATGACGGCGATTTTTTCACTAACATGAAGCTATTAAAGAATTTCTTCTTCCGTTATAATTGAACTTTTCAATCACACTGTGCATATTTTCTGAGAAACCCAACCTTCAAAAGGCCATGTTTTTTTTTGTGGTGCATGAATTTCACTGCTCTGCTATAGCGTCTAAGTACGTAATCGGATTAGCTTTGCTTAACAACGGTAGACGCTTTGCCTTAGCAACCACACAACTGCAAAAGCCAGTTGGAACCCAAACTGCAGTATACCTCCTCAGTTTTCATGTTAGTAAACATTGTTCACATTTAAAGCTCAGTATAAGATTGAGTTTCTAGAGCTGAACCAAACATACCAAATATTCAAATATTCGATCATCCAAATTTAATTTAAATATTTGAAACCTGTGAGCGATCTCAGAAGATGTGTTGCTTCTTGTCAAATTTGCCACTTTTTGTCGACAATCACTTTCCATGTAAGATTTGAGAGTTTCCGTGGAGACTATTTGCATCTTTAATATCTTATAAATATCAGCTAGTCATCAGCTTTCTTGAAAAAAATATATCAATCATGAATGATGTTCTTGACATTTATTAATTTTTGACACGCACAGGCAAATCCTGACCAGCAGCCACTCAAATTCCCTGCGGCTTATGCATTTGGGCTGGCGCATCAAAAAACTTGATCAACATGTTTCAAATATTTTTTTTAATTTTTCGATCGAGTCCAAGTTCAAATAATTAAATACTAAATCATTTGATGGTTCAAATTAGCTGGTTCAATTGGAGTTTCAAAGGAGTCTTAGACATGAGGTTTTTTAAGCATCCTTGTCAAACCTTACTCTCATTATAAAAATGCAGACCACAAACTGTTGATGCACTGCAAAATTCCATACAAAAATAAGGAACTCTTCATACTCCCGCAAACGCAAACGTGAGTTTGTGACATCACAGCAAGTTTTCGTAACTGCAAAAATGAACACGTTTCAACTCCCGCGAATTTCACAGAAACGGTTTCAACACCTCAAATTCGCGTCACATTCGCATTCATGTGGAGTATTGCACTGGTCTTTCGGCAAAGTAGCTCAGTGCATACAGCACTAAACTACCAGTCCAGTGGTCTGAGGTTCGATTTCCCCATCTTGACCTACCTCTGGAGAGAAGTCGGCGATGTGTGCCTTCTCCCGTTCCAGCGCACTCTGAGAGACAAACATAGGGAAGTAGGTGTTCTCCACGCCGAGCTCCTTGATGCAGCGGTCAAAATACTCCTTGATGGCTTCCCATATAGAGTAGGACCAGGGGCGCAGGACATAGCAGCCGCTGACATCGTAGTACTCAATCATCTCAGCCTTAGTGATGACCTGTAGGCAGGCACACAGAAAAATACTGCAGGTAAAACTTGCGCGATCCCCCTGGCATCCTGGCAGTTTGTATACATGTACATGTACAGGCATTAGTTAGGGCAATTTTCAGTGACGGCCTCAATTGTCCACCTAGCAGGTACCAGTTCTCAGTTGAAAGGGGAGTTTGGGTTGAATGGAGAGCTTGGGTGAGACACTGGACTAACATATGTTCGAGTCATTAGTAATACTTAGCTGAGCTCTCCAGAGACCTCGTAAATATCCATATTGGAAAGGATTTTGTTGACGTCGGCCTTCTCTCCACGGACCACCATTCCAGTTTGGTTGAGATTGACAACTGAACTTTATGGGTGAAAAGGAACACACACACACGGACACACGAAAGGAATACGCGATCGCAATATCCCCCTGTCTGGCTTGAAAGCCAGGGGGGTAAAAACAGAGTGCCAAGTTGTTATTACCCTCAAGAATTCAGACATTTGAGTCATGGTTTTATAATAAAGTCCAACATGTGTATAAAGGCTGGCACAGGGGTACTTCCCTTGCTGTCTGCCTCTTTGACCCAGATTCCAATCCCAACAATGCTGATTTGTGGTACTTTACAGTCCCTACTCTGGAATTTGTGGTTTTCCACAAACTCCAGAATGGTCCTTCCATCTCGAAAATGGTTCTCTGTCATCTTTTTTTTTTCTTTTTTTTTTAGATATATGAAGGCTAAAGAGCTACAGAGTCAATGCAGTTCTAAGGAATCATTGTTTAGTTAGCAGGGGGAAAAAACTTTAGGCGAAATAATTGAGCAAAACTGTAACAACGTCATTTTGGGGTACAGATGTCAATACAAGACTGTTGATGTACGTTTATGTGATATCACAATACAAAAATCACATTTTAACAATCTTTATTTTCTACTACTTGTGCCCCCAAATTGGCGTCGTCACAGCACCCTCATTGTCTTACAATCAGCCAGTATCATTACCTGCGAGTACCATTCGCTTAGGTTCTCCTCTTTCTTGACTTCCAGGCCCAGTCTCGTCTGCTTCTTGTCTGCTCCTGCTGCCGCTGCCTCTTTGCTTTCTTCCTTCTTCCTCTCCCCTCCTTTCTTTGACTCTGCCCCTTTCTTTGACTCCGCCCCTTTCTTCTCCTTCTGCTTGTCGGCTGCCTTCTTGTCTCCCTTCTTGTCTGCCTTTTGACCACCCCCTGGGGGCTTGTAGTCGCTACCGGTCAGGGCTTTGTAGTCGGCTTTGAAGCTGAGGAGAGTCTTCACTTCAGCATCTATTGTTTCCTGTCAAAGGAGAGGTGTTGAACTTTTTTAATTTTATTCTATCCAGAGTGGGTATTAAGCACAAGTAAGAAAGTAGTTTAAATGGAACCATTCAGTGTATGAAGGGTTACTCTATTTTTATTTCGTGCGTAGTTTGTCGAGTAACATGTAGAATTTGAAAAGATATTGATGAGGATATTGGTATTTCAAGGCATCACATACAATGCAAAGTCAACAGAATTAAGGGTTTTTAATTAATCAAAATACACTATTGATTGTATACACTGTTGATCCTGATCATTGAAAAGCAGATAGCATTATGCAAAACTAAGGCTCTGTGAAGCCACTTGGCTACAGCTTGCAAGTACAGGTGTCTATGGGGGCTTTCAAAAGCCTTTGCTTCGTCTTCGGCTTTGGCTTTGCCTCCGACTTCTGAATCACTGAGAGGCAAACTAAACAAAAATATTCAAACTTTTGGCCTCATATCGACCGACTGAATGTTCCTGAAGCAACAACAGGCACCAAAGCTTTCAGTAAAGGCTCCCTTTTGTGCACTGTGAAAGCATTGCAACTGATATCTTGGTGTAATTCTCAACCATCGTGAAGTTGTGAGCGTTCATTTAGAGTTGGTCAAAGTATGATAAACCATGGTTCTTGATTGAAGCTGCTGAATAATGAGGGCAAAGTCAAGCTGTTTAGAGGAATAACACAAAGAAGGGCAGCAACACTATTCATGTCAACATTTTGTGAAGCGATACCTTGGGTGCCTTGTCGGTCTTCAGCTGGCGGACTTTTTCACCCTGGGCGGTTATTTTCTCAACGATGGCCGCCGCCTCGGGACCTGCTGCCTCAGCTGCAGCTGGTTTGGGGTTACTGGCTGGGTTAGGCTTGGGGTTACCAGCTTTCTGGCTACCGGCTGCCGGGGGCTTGTAGTCTGAACCCATCTGGGCCTTGTACTGGGCCTTCAAGCCGAGGAGAACTTTGACAGCAGCATCAATTGTCTCCTAACGGCCAAAAAAAAAAAGGAAAGATGTTTTTTTTAAATTTTTTTAATGCTAAAAATGTATTTTGTTAACTCTCTGATATAATTTTTGTGTCTGTCTGCCCAAATATGCCGATATTCGCCAAAGGAGTGCAATGTTGTAGTCAAGTCCATGGGTGCGTTTTGGCGGTCGTAACCAAGAATTGGTTCGGTTGTTTCTCTGTGGTTAATTGTTTTGGGGATTTAAGTACTACATCATCATGCATAATTCTTACCAAATGAATATTACCAAAGAAATTCACAAACAAGAAACAACCGAACCAATTCTTGGTTATGACCGCCAAAACGCACCCCATGACAAGTCCAGTCACAAGTACCATGGGATAAACAATAACAAAGGAATACCTTTGCCACAGTTCGTTTTGAATAGCTTGTGATTCGACTTGGAAATGGATAACTTGCGATGGACTCATGATGGACTCGTGATGGACTCAACATCCAATACCGACACAGAAAAACGGAGGATGCAAACACTTATCAGGAAGGACTCCGAACGAAGTGAGTTCGAGGGCCTTCAGTTGCTAATCCTCCGAGCATGTGGCTGTTCAACCCTATAGTAATGTTGATGCACTTAACACGGAACATTCGTTTACAGCAAATATCAAAGTGTATTAGTCCATGTAGACAAATAGCAGTTATTACCTTAGGGGCTTTTTCGGTCTTCAGTTTCCTGACGACATCTCCCTGGGCAGTAATCTGACTCACGAGGGCGCTCACATCACCAGTCTCTGCTGGTCCGGTACCCGGACTCGGGGCTGGATTCTCTTGCTTTTTGCTCTTGTTGTTCTTTATGGGTAGAAATCACAAGTCGCCATTATTTTAAATATTACAAAGAAAGATTGTACGCTATTCCTTCAAAAGCCTAGTTCTTTTACAGGTGTTTAATGACTAACACCAATAGAATACAAGCCACATTTAGTGGGAGCTAACATTGAAGTTGGTTCACTCTCCAAAAAGAGAGAGAACTAGAACGCAGCTTGAAATATGGGTTTCGATAAAAGGGCTCTTGAGCTGGCCTTTGAGCTTTACTTGTTGCGTTTGAGGTTGTACTACAACTCACCTTGGCGGGCACTTGAGCTTTACTTTGTTGCGATTGAGGTTGTACTACAACTCACCTTGGTGGGCACTTGAGCTTTACTTGTTGCGTTTGAGGTTGTACTACAACTCACCTTGGCGGGCACTTGAGCTTTACTTGTTGCGTTTGAGGTTGTACTACAACTCACCTTGGCGGGCACTTGAGCTTTACTTGTTGCGTTTGAGGTTGTCTTGTGACCGTCAGGTATATTGAAGAGGATGCAGGGACTGGCACGTCCACTATGCCGACTACAAAGCAAAAAAAAGAAAAGAAATTTTTTTTTTAATTGATCACTTACTTGTTTTCTGACTCCATCCCTTCTCTTTGAGACAGGATCAGCCATCAGCTCAAGCGATTAAGTCGGTAATTGAACATCAATTGTCAGCATCATTTGGTCTGGGAACCAGACTATGCGCATTGCATGCAGCGATAATTATATATTTTGCGTGCATGGAGCCAGTAACCGGTTACCGTACACAAAACAATTACTCACTTGGCACCGAGTCTACAAATGGCATGGCCTATAATCTCTTCACAGAGAAGTTGGCCCATAAGGGCCATCATGAGAGTGTTTCCAAAACCCACCTTGGTTCCTCATGGGCTTGGTCGCATATGAAGAATCCCTTGCGCTGAAGCTGAATGATGTCACCTTTCTTCAAGGTGGTGAGTTCTGGGTCTCCCAGCAACATGGTCTCAGTCTGAAGGGAGGATGCAAAAAAATCATATGGCATAAAATATGGTGTAATATACAAATATTGACTGCTATGAGAAATGTAGTAAAACTAGCCTCTTGAGGTGGTCCATGAAGCTTCTATTCGCAGAGGTAATATAGAATGTTCCATGGATCACAGAGGGAGGCTAGTATACAAATATTGACTGCTTTGAGTGATGTAGTAAAACTAGGCTCCCGAGGTGATCCATGAAGCATTCTATTCGCCGAGGTAAAATAGAATGTTCCATGGATCACAGAGGGAGGCTAGTTTTACTACACCACAAGTTAAAGCAGTCAATATTTGTTTTATAACACCTCTCCCACAGATTCCTCTTGACTTTAAGCGATAACTGATTAATGTAATCTAAATACAGTTAAAATGTACTTCATTTGAAAACCAAATTAGCTGAAAATTTGCTTACACTTTTCCAAACTATCCCTGCGCGAAATATTTTAACCGAGCTCTGTAGCGCTAGCACTTCTGACGTGCACACCCGTATGCATAGTACTTTGGTTGCTGCGGGTATAGCACATTGGTTGCTACGGGTATAGTACTTTGGCCATGCAAAAATCACCTGTGATATTTCTGTACTCAGCGTTGGGTAGAAATTTGCTTTCACGAATTATTAAAAGGAACACTTTGAGAAAAAAGGTCCAATTATTTTCGTTTCTGTTATCAACATATCAAAAAGCAAAATATACGGAAACTGCTTTACAACAACACAGTCGTCAACTTTGTTTAATCTTAATCTGCGCCGTATTTGCATATTCATTATGTCTTACAGATCAAGCAATCCTATTGGCTCAATGATGAAAAGTGAGGTCAGCGACCGTGTCAAAGTTCAATTACTTACACTCTGTACCAACGTCGCCAGCATCCTTCAGCAACTAATTGCGAGCACCTCAGCGACAACTATAAATTGTGTCTAAGATGATCGCGCGCCAATTTCTCGGTCACATGAGAATCGCACGACCAACTATAAACCACCCTATACCATTCTGGTCATTTCTGGTCATTATGGTCACTAAAAGCTTTAATTCCCAACTTTTTGTCATCTCTTTCTAATAACCTTGGTATTTTTGTTGACGAAATCCTTGAAGTTGTCGTCTTTACTCAGGATGCCCTTGCTGATGATGTCATCAAAGTGCATCATGACGGCCGGGATGAAGGGGGCCTTCTCAGTCTCGGCTAGCCAGGTCAGCTTGGTGGTCTTCTTGTAATCCTGGGTTTATTGACAAGAGGTAGTAAGTGCAAAAAGGGGGTCGAACCACCACTGGTGTTGCTCCATGAGCATTGTGGGGGTGGGGGGGGTGGGGGGAACACGCCCTCTCCTTATCAGCAACATTGTGTTACTGTGGGACCAGGCCCAACAGAAAACACTACAGTGTGACACAAGGCCCAAAAAAATGGTGTGCTGCCCTCATCCTACCGACACAAACATTTGGAAATCTCTGGTCCTTTTTTTTTTCCAACTTGAAAAAAATTAAATAAACTTTAACCTTACATTTACTGTTTATTTGTAATGCCATAATTTTGCAGTTTGTTACAAAACGTACATACCTAAATGGGAGTACAGTTCAAATTTACCGTATTTTGTATGTGTAACTGAGGCTGAGGCTTGGGGCGTGTGGTGTGATGTACTGCAAACATTGTATACATGTGTACATGTCGACGGTCGCACAACAAAGTGACGTATCGCGTGCACAAAGTCCATAGACGATACGTAACTTCGTGGTGCACCCAACGATGTGTACATACATTGTATCACATGCATGTACATATACACAGTGTAGTTGGCGCATGCAGTACATGTTGCCTAAACATTTTGTCTACATTGGTAGAGGGGAACTGGTAACCGAATGAAATAGAAGAAGGCATATATGTGAACTATGTATACCCTCCCCCCCCCAAAAAAAAAAAAACTCAGACCAACCGACCCTCCTGATATTATTCAAGTGAGGGCAACACAACAATTTTTCGGGGGCCTAAGATACATGGATGTAGGTGTGTTTTACCTGATTATCCAGATTAAGCACCGCATCAATGGACGTGACCTTCCCTGAGCTGTCTCTGTAATATAAATAATAGTCCAACATAAAAGGAATTAGCCAACACAATATCATTTGAATAAGGAAAACGATATAGTCAGCATATGAAATGTGCTTACCATTAAAGGAAAATCACCGCTTACAGTAAGCACAGCCATGTAATTAACCCAAGTCTCAAATACCCCCAAAAAATGCAAAACAGAAATCATACCCAAATAATAAATCTTCTGACCATTCTATCTGTTTTTGCAACCAAAATTTAACCCAGTTTAAATTTTAACCAAAATTAATGAAGTGCTTACTTGCTGATCTTTTTGATGATAATGTTCCCCCAGTTGACAAAGGTCACGACCTCTCCTTCCTTTAAGATGGCGGCATCCTCCTGGTCAATCATGACTTTGCTGCTGTACCAAACTTTCTTCGTTCCTACGGACTCATTCTGGGCAGGAAATGACAATCGTTAGCATAAATATGTCTGTATTTAGGAGAAAGCAATTCCTGCCTGATCAAATCTATAGATGACTCTAATACCTTACACGAAATTTTTGAACACAGGAATTCTGTGCGTACAGGAGAACCAGACCAAATGAGATTACAATGTAGTGTTGTCAACGAATAGCAACCAAATTCCGGGTTTGGAACAGTTGCCTATCCTCATAAACAAGAGATCTTCATGTTAACAGAGGTCTCCAAGTCAGTAAGGTGTCCTCTACACTACCTGCATGACAGTCTCTACCAATCCAACCCAGGGCAAAATTTGAAGCGTAACTCATAAGTTGTATGAACTACAGTAGGACAAGATAAATGATTCCATTCTCGCAGGGTAGGCTGGTCCTGCCCCACAATCAGATCGGGAGCCAGTCTGCTGGCAAAGTGGATCTGTTTGCATCCAAAACAATAAAAATGCCCAAAAAAAATCACAGGGTTCCAGACTCCCCCCCCCCCCAAAAAGGAAAAAGCAGGTCTTTGGGTTAGAATATAACATACAAGTTGTGAATTTACTAATAGAAAAAGCCCACAAATTTGTGAATTTTAACATTGTTCTTACTTCTTACAATCTCTCATGAAATGCAGACAGGCTCTGCTGCTGCCAAAACATTTTGTTTGCCTAGCCGCACCACGAACTTAGTCCCACAGGACAACCAATTCAACAAGATGGGGAAAAACGTTGCAAACTGACGCCACTTTCGCGACTGTGTACAAAGTCTATGGAGAGTCGAGACATTTTTTAAAGTATTTCCTAACAAAATTTGAAATGTTTCTCAGTCCCAGATTCATGTCTTATCATCATTTTTGCAGTGAATAATATTCATTGAGATGATATATGAGGAAAAAAGTGGCGTCAGGTCGCAATATTTTTTCCCAAGATACTTACTTTTGGATGCTTGGCCACGTCTTTGGACTCCTCCTTTGCCCCTTCCACCATGACTGGTACAGCATCTTGTTTCACTACAGCCAAGAACCGAGGCACTTTGGGGTCGATGACCTTGCGATTGAAGCTCCAGAGTTTGTCCCATTCCATCATGACCACTGACCGAGACGAACCCTGTGACAAAAACAAAGAATTGTATCATCGAAGAGCCTTAATTGCACAGGCATTAACCCCAACCCTCCTTGATCCTTTCGAGGATCAAGGCCTAGTGGTAAGGGTTTGTGACTCATGATCAGCGGGTCAAGGGTACGAATCCACCTCCTTGGTCATATGTCGTGTCCTTGGGCAAGCCACTCCACCCACACTTGCCTCTCTCCACCCAGGAGTACAAATGGATACCGGCATTAGCTGGACATCCCATCCAGGGGGTACAGAACTATTCTCAATCATTTCACGCCCACAAACCAGAGATAAACGCCAGCCTGATGGGCCATATTGGCTCATGACAGACTTTACTACTCCTTGATCTTTTGTGGTTCACCAGGAGGTTTGGAGGATTGCCCGATTAGTCTATAAAAGGATGTCAACTATTTCCCCATGATGCACTGCACACAAACTGAGATTTCTGCCCCCAATGGCAGCATTTCGGCATAGTTTATCACTCCGATAGGCCTCATTATTGAGCGAATGAGAGTGCAAATAATGACGCCATATGGGGTATAGACTACAGTTCTCACCAAGCTTTTGTGAGTTATATGGGTTATATCAGGTTACTCAGGTTATGTGCAAGCACTCCAGTCTCCTTTGACCAATAGGGTCACCAAAATGTGCGCGCGCATTGTCTTTACCGCAGTAACGTCTTCTAATTCTGGTCGCCGGATTCCGCTATAGACAGATGTCCATCCAAGGTTAATGATGTTAGTTTACATATTGCTACAAATCTTTTACATTTTTACAGTTATAAGTTACTTAAGTTCAAAAATGGGATTTTTCTTGTGTTGGTACCCAGAAAAAAGCCTCATCTATAGTACCCTCCTTCGCTCAGAAACATGGCAAAATGTTTACCTGGGCTGCTATGAACAGCTTCAACCCTTCCACCGTCATTCCTCGCCTCAGAACGCCGCGCACGGTGGGGAACCTTGGGTCCTCCCTAAACACAAAAAAAGAATTGAAAACAACAAATCTGTGATAACGATCATATGATAGCAACTTAGCAAGAAATGTGGTCTGTTATTACCTTCCATAATGTGATATTGAAAGAAAAAGGAGATTCCAGGACCAAAAAATAAAACCAAAAAAGTGACAAGACAGTGTGTAACTAAAAAAGAAAAACTCAGTTGAAAGGTACTTTATTTTTTAATAGGTACACACTGAAGAGTCTGACAATATATTGAAATTTATAAAAAAATATAGAATAAATTTGAGATCAAAATTCAGAGACTTTCATGTTTATGTATATTCAAAGTTGTAGCTCAATTGGACAAATCATTTTTGTAATTAGGATCATTAAAATTTAATAATTCTGTCTGTGTATGACTACATCTTTCTAAATAAAATTAATGGGAAAACACAAGATTTTGTCTGTAACCTGCAATAAAAATTTGACATGAATAGTAACTTTGCGGTCAAATGCTTCCACTCACCATCCATCCACAAGCCCCTCCTGCACAAACCATGTCAGTTTGCGCTTGGACAGCACCGTGTGCTGAAGATTCAGCCGGCTGTAGGCCCAGATGAAGACCTTACGAATCTTCAGGTTCTCTAGGAACCAGTTGTACTGCTCGTCGCGATCGTGGTACTCCGTGGTGCGCAGGGCGTGGGTCACCCCCTCCACGGAGTCCACGATTGGACAGGCAAAGTCATAGGTTGGGTAGACCCTAAAAAGAAAGTATTGCATGTGAATTAATCCAAAGACAAGAATCTATATATCGAGAGATAATACATGGGTGACTCGATATTTGCACATAGTTTCTCAAATGTTTCTCAAAAGAGTTATTCAAATGCTTTGAATAACTGTATCTCTTGAGATTTTAGTGACCACACTTTCTCAATGTACAATGCTTAATTCTAAGAGCATTTCCAAATGATGGTGAGGTTTTTTTTCTAGAAATATGGTACAAAACAATATACATAAACCAGTATCTTTCTTCAAACCTATACTTTGTGATCCGAGTTTATAACAAACTCTTCTGCTTTTTATTTTCAATTTAAAAAAAAAAATGAAGTTGAAACTGTCATCTTCAACCAATGCAGGTATGTTAGTTCTGGCCACTGCTGGCTGCTAAGGACACTAAAGGGTGAAATATTCTGATACATGTACATGTATGTATGTATGTACCGGTATGTCATTTTTTTGCCAAATCCCAAATCGCAAAACTTCAACGAATTCAGAACTCTGCCGCCAGACTTGTTACCCGTTCACCATCACGACGACACATAACCCCAATACTTCGAGATCTCCACTGGTTACCTGTCAGAAAGCGCATCACCTTCAAAACTCTACTCTTTACTTATAAATGCATCGACGGTTCGTCACCATCATACCTTCGTGACCTCATTGAACCCTATCAACCACCGCGCACCCTACGCTCTGGCTCAGCACTGTTGCTGAAGACTCCCGCCATTCACACCAAAACGTATGGACATCGGTCCTTCACACACTCATCCGCTACTCTCTGGAACTCTCTCCCACAACACATCAAGACTGCAAGAACTGAAACTGAGTTCAAAATTGCACTTAAGACATGCCTATTTAACATTTAATTATTTTGTGTTGTAAAGCGCATTGTGACATTGTGTAATGCGCTATATAAGAACCATTTTATTATTATTATTTGCCATTTTTACCTCTGTGTGTTATTTATATTTCAATATGCAGCTACAGGTAATAAGATAAAAATGAATTTGCCTTCCAACAATCCTGCAAAATCTCTCAAGCATCCCGATGGATTTTGAAGGTTGTGGGAAGGTCAGGGTTAATCCTACATGTACAATACACTCCACATTCACTAACCTCAAGATACTCCAAACTTGAAATCCATTCAAGCATAAAATTCCCCTGGTTTTTTTTTTTTTTTTTGCAAAGGGATTTAGCAAAACATGGTCATAATTGTCGGTTTCTTTTCTTGTGAACTAATTTCAAGCCTTCATACTTCCAGACAGTAGTCTGAAATTTACAGTCTCATACATGTAGTTTAGGATTTGATGTTCCTGAAGGAGTTATACCGGTACTCCGCCAAGTCGGAAGACAAAAACTGAGTATACAGGGTGGATAAAAAAAAAACGAAACCGAGATATTATTGCTAATTGTAACAGAAGTAGGGCACATGTGAATCAAAGGGAGATATCCTCTGTTAGGGTTGAATCTCCTCTTTAAAATGACACCCTGATCATGTCCTTACATTCACGGTTGACTGAGCAGTGACCAATTTTATGAAAGGGTCCATTTAGAGACTTGCGCCATTTTTCATGGTGAAATCTCTTTTTTCCCCACCTGTCTTGATTAGCAACCATAGCCTTTCACTCTGTGACAATTGACACAACAAAAACCACAATTGAAAAGTGGCGCAAGTCTCTAAATAGACCCTTTCATAAAATTGGTCACTGCTCAGTCAACCGTGAATGTAATGACATGACCAGGGTGTCATTTTAAAGAGGAGATTCAACCCTAATCATGCTAACAGAAGATATCATTTTTTGATTCACATGTGCCCTACTTCTGTTCCAATTAGCAATAATATCTCGGTTTCATTTTTTTTATCAAAGCTGAAGCTTCACTAACCCCTGTTATAATGTTCCCCTGATCCACTTACTTGTACTTGGTTCCTGTCTTGACGTGAGGCTCGTCCTTACACCTGAAGATAGTCGGGTCCCTCATGCATCCATTGTTCGACTGCATGTCCATCTTGACTCTAAGGCACCAGGGCCTACCAAAGGGAGTGGCTTTCTTCATCTCCTCCCAAACTTCAAGGTTCTTCTCCACCGCTGCAAGACAAGTATGTGTCACCATGAATAAACTTTTAATATTCAGGAGTATTAATGTGCACGTGGGACAACGCCTTATGTACTCTGTGCACAAGCACCTCCCTCAACATTTACAAAGGGACATTTGGGAAAGAACACTAGGAGGGACATTCAAACGCACTGTCGACGACGCCAGACGCTCACGTGAAGATGCTGGTGGTTTGTGCGGATCAGAATAAAATGCATCTTGCGTATTTCACGCGATATTCACTCAAACCAGAACGTGCACACGGTGTGTCCCTCCCATTGGGGCCCTCAAAAGTGGTCACAAATCGCCATCTATAGACCTTTATCATGCTGCCACCATTTCAGTCATGTTCCCTGTATCCAATAACACTACTGAATGATATTTTTTTTTTGCAAAAAGGAAGCAGACTTTTTTCTCCTTGATTGAATGGGAGCAAATCAAGATGGCCACAACATGATAATGGTCTATTGTTCATGCACGGAGTTCATATGCCATGGCAAGCTCGTCGGTTGAGTGGTTACGAAGTTTGCACTAGTAAGCAGAAAGCCATGGGTTTGAGTCCCACCCTAGCGAGCTTGTCATTTTGTTCATAAAGCACCGAGGGTACAGTGCTGCTATGTCACCACAGTGTCAGGCAAACAAAAATAATAACATATTATGGTGCTACCGCAAACTTATCTTGTCTTAGCATCTTTCCACCATGCAAACCTTCAAATCTCATCTAATAACATATTAAGATCTAAAATCCTTAAAAGTCCATAATTTATCATGGAATTTTTGTTTAGAATAACTTGTTTTGTCACAAACTGGCCTGACCCCACCCATGGAAATGGACAGTCCATTATTGTACCCAAACTGTGAGGCCGCAATGTGCTCCCCAAATATGAATATATACACTACATGTATGTTCAACCCATTAGGTAACTTTTCTTTTTAAAGACCAGGGTCAAAAATCCTTAATGAAGCCTGGCACACTAGCGACTTCATCCTATGATCTTGACTTGCTGTGCACACAGAGATCAGTGGTTTGCAATCGGTTTTTGTAGAAGCTCCCATCAATTTGCTCTTGAGTGTAAGCCACAAACAGTACCCTCACCGAATCACGCACACAGGCAATACAAAAATGGCTTCATTCTGGGTCCACAGGGAGAACAGTTCATTGAAAAAGGATGGGGTTATCCTTAAAAAATACCAAGAACGAAAAACATAAAGTTTTGTATTGCTTACAATTCTGCCTGTTCTTGGACTCGATTCTCTGCTCCCGTTCTTTCTTCATCTGTTCAGCCTCCGTGTCGTCAGCGTACGCCTTGCCTTCCTTCAGTAGATTCGTGGCATGCTGGATGATCAGATCAAAGTGGTCCGAGGTGTGGGAGAAGTGGTCATACTTGATGCCCAGCATGGCAACATCCTCCAATATCACCTGCGTGAGGTAAAAATGATCAATATGTTGATCTCTACCGAGTGCTTCTTTGTGTGCTGTAATGTTTATTAATTAATGTTAATTTATTTTTGTTGATTTTTAAAATTCTTTCTGGTGATGAAATCAAGGATTCTTCCAATTTTGCACAAGTAGTTTTAGAGGTGAATCGAAAACACTGGAAGGACAGTGGCGTATCCAGAGGGGGGGGGGCGGGGCAGGGGGCGGATTTTTTTGACAAAAATTTGTTTTCAGCAATTATTTCAATAAATGGTTAGAGAGTTCTGACGTCAATTCAAAAAAAGAAAACCCGTTCAAAAAACATACATGTAACAATATGCCCTGAAAATGGGCATATAATTTGTAGTATGCATAATAATGGTCAGTTTTGAAGAGCGCCCCCATTTGGAAGAAGATTTTGTTGATTATTAAAATGTTAAGGTAGTCAGATTCCTGCCTAAAATGAAAACTCTCGGGGTTCAGAATCATTGTTGTTGCATATCTGTACCCTGTAAAACAATCTCAAGAGTATTTTTTGAGAAATTTTTAGATTTGGGCATCTGAAACTGCATGTGGATAAAAATATCATCGACAAAACTCTTGTAAGAGGTGCAAACAGGAAAGACTATGCTTTCAGGGTGCCATATCTCTGAACGACTTGGAGTTTCAAGCTTGTCTTTGTTCTAATAATGTACGGATCTTTCTTTTTTTAAAGTATTATTGACATTTTAGTCCATCATGTGACATCCTCAAAATAGTTGCAGAGTGACTCAGATGTTTATAATCTTTATTATAAATTTTGTCAGTAAATTATAAATCATGTATTAGAGCTTACCCTCTCAAATTCCTTGTCTTCCTTGGCCGGGTTGGTGTCATCAAAGCGCATGATAAGCTTGCCCTTAAAGTGTTCCTGGTAATACTGGTTGAGCAACGCTGCCTTAGCATGGCCGATATGCAGGTACCTTAGGGGAAATGACAAATCAAAATATAGGTTTTCCCGGCCATTTTAACACATTTTCATTCAAATTCACCAACTGTAATATTCGAGAATAATTTCACACGCTTATAACTAAAACCAATTTAGTCATTTACCATTCTATTTCAAAGTTTGGTCACCCTCTTTAGTCACCGGGTCGAGAATATTCGTTATTACAGATCAAATTCATCTGAGCTGTTGCTGAATCGCAAAATTCAGAGATCGAATTCGTCTGATATAAATCAATTAGACGAATTTGATTTCTGAATGACAGGGTTTGGCGTAGACTAGATGAATAGAATACTCCGGGACAAAAACGTGTGCTCATTGTTTGAATTTGCTTGAACTGAATTTGAAATTGTTTGACAAAAGACGAAATTAAACATTGGAAGTGCACTAACTCAATGTTGAAGGACGAATTTGAATATTAGAAACCATGAATGACAAATGTTTGAAAATACACAATGTACTGTAGCTGGGAAAACCTATATAAAGACTTATTTAAATTTAGATTTTATCAAAAATTTCAATATTGGCATTGAGGTAAAAAAATTATGAATATCATGTATGTATCGATATATTTATTCGAGGTGGCTGACTAGCTGATATTTGACAGATTTGAAGATGCAAATTAGGGTTAATATTCCTCACGAAACTCTCAACTTATAAATGCATGTAAAGTGGTTGTTCACAAAAAAATGTGGCATTTGACCAAGAACAAAACCACTCAACTTGTATAATAAAATTACACTACAGACATTTTCGTAGAAAATTTACATTTTTCGAATATTCTGTTTGGTAAATTGCTGTTACATATTCAGTGGATGATCGGATATTCAGATATTCGGCACAGCCCTAAACCATGTCTAGCCACTTCCATAGACCCTTGTGTTATTGCAAGTGGCAACTGAGTATAATATGTAATTTGGACACGGTTTCAAAAAAGCTCTGTGACATAAATAATGGGCTCTGTTCACATTGCAGGACATTACTTTACAAAGACACAAAAATGGGATTCGCAACTCAAAATCAAGCTGATTAATAGTACATGTAGGTAACTTTACTTCCCCAAAAATTTAAAAAAAAAAAAAAAAAAAAAAAATGTTTTTGACCAGTTAACAGAAGAAAGTAGAAATCTCCATCTACGTGTTAGGGCAACTTTTCTCAAAACAATGAAGATGTGTAGTAAACCTGGGAGAAAATATGAGAAATGTAAAAGAAAAATGACCACTCTCAAGACTTTCCTTACCCGCTTGCTTCCGGTGGGAATCTTACCACCACCTTGCCCTCCTCAGCTCCTGGCAAGTCAAAGAAACCACCAACATCAGCCTGCTTTGCCTGTTGGAAAAAGAAATCAAAAGACAAGACACATTTAAATCAGTCAATATACAGAGTGAGTAAAAAAAAAAAAAACCCAAATGTCGGGACCATCGTTTTAGTGAAGTTCTGCATGTAGCACTTCCAAAATCTAGGATATGAAAGCCCAATTCATAAGCTTTCTTTTAGTTCAGGAATCATTCACATCACTCATGTACTTTTCAAGTTACGGAGTTTTAAAAACAACCACCGTTTTAAAGTTCTGTCCACAGATCACAAAAAAAGGTGTGCGTTCTTTCAGCAAAACGAAAACAATTCACACACATCCCTATGTGATTTCTTTTCATTTTGATGAAAGAACACTGAAGGTTTTTGTGATCCGTGGACAGAACCTTAAAACGGCGGTTGTGTTTAAAATTCTGTAGCTTGAAAAGTACATGAGTTATTTAAATGATTCTTGTACTAAACGAAAGCTTATGAATTGGGGTTTTATATCCTAGATTTTGGAAGTGCTACATGCAGAACTTCATGGTCCCGACATTTGGGTTTCGGTTGTTTTTACTCACCCTGTATTCCAATATAATTTATTTTAAAATGGTGTTATTACTGTGACCTCATTCGCCAAAAAAAAATAAAATAAAATCCTACCGCTTTTTCCTGTTTACTAGCAGCAGGGGCAGTGTTGGGCAGAGTGTTGGAGACTTTCTTGACTTGACTCTGAGCAGAGATGAACTTGTACCAGCGGGTCACGTTAGTAGGGCCCTGGCCTTTATTCAGCATACCTGCCCATGTTGAACTGCCTGCACAACGAGAGATCATATGAAAAGTATAATAGACCTTATGCGTTAAGGCAGAGTTTGAGAGCAATGGTTTTGTATTGGTCGGGTAGCCAAGAGCGAACAATTTGTATACAGTGTTTGAACGTCGGTGAAGGGCAAAAGCTAATTTGATTTGATTTATATCACCCAGACGCAAAATTCCATCTTATAATAATTTGTGCCTTCATTGTTACTCAATTAAACTAACAAAGAACACCCTCTAAGACACCTGCAGTGCATAGGGTCTGGTGGCACGGGGGTCGTGTTGGACATTACAGTTACACTCGATTTTTCATGACTTACCTGTAAGCCCTGCTAATTATTAATATTTGACACGGATGCGTGGACATCCTGGAATGTTTTACATTGGCTTATCTTGCTCCCGGATATATTTACATAAAACTCAACAGTTCTTTGAGTCTGGAGTGCTGAATGGTAACACATACATGTACAATGTAGCAACCGATGAAAAGGCACTTGCTACCGAAAAGAAAGTTTCATCGCCTTGGCTGACCATGACGTAATATAATGCCAACCATGCCTACCAGTATGTGCCAGACCTGTGAGATGCTGTACAAAGTTTGGGCACAATCGCACAGTATTCAGGCAACTCACGCACTGGCGCTAATGAGTGAAGCAACAATGCCCACTCTTCTGTATCAGCATTGAGAATATGCTTTGTCAATTCTGTGACAGTTTAACCAAACCCTCAGATTTGTCGCCAGCTGCGTCTTCGTCTGCAACCAAAGATCCACGTGAATCCTGCTACATGTACATTCACACTCATCAAAAAAAGGCACATGTACATGTATGTACTCCAAACATTGGCCATGTGACAAAATTTGGTGCCGCTAGAGCTCAAAATGGAAAGATTGCGCGCTGGGGTCTATCAGTATCAGGTGAATAAAATCATGAAGCTTGAGCCCGAAGCCGACGATTGAGACAAAGCCAGAAATGTAAAACCCAATGCCCCCCCCCCCTTCAAAAAAAAAAGAATATTTCATGCCGAATTTCTCACCTTTCAGAGCTCCCCAGACTGCCAAGTCTGCTATAGAGAGAGTCTTTCCAACCAGGTAGGTACGCGGACCCAGGGTCTTCTCCAGGTAGCCTATGGCTTCTGGGAACTCTCCGCACTGACCAAGCCTGTTACTACTGAAGTCCAGCCAGTGGTCAACCTATGGAATAATCATGCTGGGATATATGACAGTGTATGGATTCTGTGCCCAAGTACTGGTACCACCTCAGATCAAAGGAAGAGTTGGGGGAGACCACTGGGAGGGACATATGGAAAGATTCCCACATCTGGCCATCAATTGTCACCCTGTGCACAAGAATGGTCTGAAAATGTTTAAGTGTTATCTCAGTAAATGGGCAATTCCACGGTTACTCATGTTACATTTTTGATGTACTTTTGAGTTTCCTTGGGCTGTAATTACCTTACTGAAAAGGTTTAATAACTGTTATCCCCATGGTAGATAGAGTAGACCTAGACCTACCTAAGCACCAAAGATGACATCCAGAAAAATGTGTCATGTATGATAAACAAGATGCACAAAATCGGTTACCGGTGCTCACGTTACGAAAATCTAACGCGAGTATTGTTGATATTTTATTAATTTACAGAGTTAAATAAAATGTACCTCAGTTGCTTCCAGGGGACTGCTCCCATATAATCCATTATTAGGAGACAACCGGGCCAGATAGCGGCAGATAACTTCAGAATTAGTGCATGTCAGATGGCTGCAAGAACAAAAAAAATCAGTCTTGTTGGGTATAAATTCATTCCAACATCAAGCAGCACCAATACCAAGCATAAGCATAATATTTTTTTTTTTTATAATCCATGCTTCGCTTTATACTTCCTCCAGTTACACAACTAAATTCATATGCATAAGAAGAGTAAAGCCTTCTTTACCCAAATCTTGTGAAGTATGAACTGGCCCTTAATCATGCAATATCCTCCTAAACCTCCTTGTTATCTGGGGGGGTTGGGGATCAACCCAACAGATTCCATCAGATTCCAACGGTTAGTACAAACAACTTCTATGATCACAAATGGGATCATTCAAAAAAATTGCCTGCTTCCCGATCCGATTGATATTCAGCCTGGTTAGGTTTACCCCATTTCATACAGAATCCTTTATGTACCAACATCCAACAAGCAAATTTGAAACATTTGATGTACGTCAGGCCTTCATTTTTAGAAATTCGTGGAGCTCAGTTAATCGCTCTCCAGGGAAATCCGAGGAGCTCAATTTGAGCACCCAAAATTGCTCTCCTGGGAAGTCCGAGGAGCTCAATTTGCATGTTTTGTGCTCAAAGTAAAAAATGAATCCAAATCATTTCCTGAAGCCTTTCATATCATGCACACACACGTGCATCAGAACTGAGAAACAGATGCGACTGTTCACTACAAATTGAGTGCTTAATTCATGTCAATTTATTAGGTTTAAGTTTTACTTGTTTGTGAATCATCCTGATGTGGAATTGGAAATAAAAATGAAAAACAAATTGGAGTTGACTTGTGGTTCTTTAGTGGTTTTGTGTGTGTTCTATTTTACTTCGTTTTTATTATATTCACTTTATTTTATTTTTATTTTTTGTTTTATTTACTGTTTATTCCATTTTTATTTATTAATTTTTTTTTATCAAATAGTTTGTTTTGGTTTACTAACTTTACTAAAAACCTGTTTTTGTTTAAATTTGCATATGTATCATGTGGTGTAACCGTGTTTTTGAGGGGTTCTAAATTTATATCCAAATTGATGAATAAAGCCCCCCCCCCCAAAAAAAATCCCATTAATTTAAGTCCGGTCATACATCTGTCAAAGAAATACTTTTTTTGTCACATAAATCCTCAAAATTAGTAAAATAGAAAAGGAAAATAATTATATGAATATTTGGTTTTGGGCACAAAAAATAAAAGGATCGAAAGTAAGGTCACAGAAATGTACAAGTATTGAACGCCATTACAAAATGTCGAATGGTACCACGCACAAACAATGTCACCGTGCACGGGTGGCCTGTTGACCGGCCGCGCTTGCGGGCATAGCCTGGTAGTCGACACACGGAAAATCGCTCTGCACTCTATCGTTGTGGGACAAATGAGCTCAACCTTTCGTAAGGTATTTCCAACCCAAACTTGTCAAAAATGAACGCTAGTTTCTTGTAGATGTACCGGAGATCATTCAAAATGCCGTTCAAAAACTCTGGCTCCCTTTGGAATATCACAACTTCCAGAAAAACGGTGTAATTTCACACTGTTAATTGTCTGGCTGCACAGTATTAGATCGCTCACAAGTAGGCCTACGTGTTATGCGTGGGATCGGGAATGGAAACCGTCGCGATCGCCCGGCACCACACTCAACACGTGTGCTTGGGCCACGTCCATTTTATCGAAAAATAGGGGTGTTGGTATTACAAAGTAGGTGGTTTTAATTGCTCGGCCCATCCATTTCATAATTGTTTTGTGTTTTCACTTCATCGGAGGTTTATTTATTTAGTTTACATTATAAATATTTATAAACTAATTTATAAACTGATCTCAACCGAAATTATTATTTCATTTTATTCACTTAATGGCGGTGCACGTCTGAATGACGATCCTGCCAGTACCCTTGATCATAATGGAACGTGCTACATGTCGTTGATGAAAAGAAAATGGCTAATGTGTCCATGTACATGATGTATGGGATGGGCTCGAGTAACTGCGATGTTTACAAAATCCTTGCGATGATTATGGGTGGATTTTACGTAGGTATTCGACTTACTTTTGTTGCTTTTTTTCGCAACAAAATCGTTCAAACATCGGGATGACAAGTTAAGAAATCAAGTATATAAAATTTGGATTGACAAGATTTTACTGTTGGCTTTATGTAGACAAAAACTGGAGTCGACAATTAATAAGCTTACAAATTTACCCAGGAGCGCTATTATTCGCGCGCCAGAAACCAAGTTAAGGAGCGCGAAGGAGCGCGATCGCGCTCGCGCTCCTTAAAAATGAAGGCCTGGTACGTGTAAGGGACTTACTCAGACACCTTCAGGCTTGTGGTCTTGCCCCATTCAATGCTGACATTCACTGCACCGCTGATGTACTCCGCAACTAGCAAGGCAGCTGTTCAATAAAAGAAAATATCTAAATTAACATTCCTGGAGTTGAAATTTACATGTACAACCAGGCAGTATTCTTTGCTGAAGATCAGGATTTATCTATGAAGTTGCAAAGATGCTTCTCTTTAGCTTAATTAATGGCTATTTAGTCAGAAAACTCAAGCTCTGTTATCTCTAAATATTAGAGGTATTGGCACCCGTATCACATACATTTTGTATCCCTATCAATTTTACGTGTGACATCATCCATTGTCCATGTCATCACTTTGTGCATGTACATGTACGTGTACCGGTACGTGTACCGTACATGTACAGGTAAGTAGGCACATGTATTTTAAATGAAAAACATGTACGGTATGGCATGTGTCTTTACAACATGACCATTTATTTTTATGATGAACTGGTTGAAAATTAGAATTAGTTTAAGTGCGCCTCAATGTGATAAGGCCTAATCATGTGAAATACACTTTAAGGCCCCCAAAAAAAGACACTAGTCGGTCTCGGGTCAGTGCGCGCGTCGATTTTGACCATGCGCGTCAATTTCTTTTCCAAATTTTCCGTGGTAGCTACAACAGCGCCCTCTATTGCGGCACCGCCTCAAAAATGATGGAGGATACCAAGGTAAATGATGGAGGACACCAATGTACATGTACGGGGCACATAAAAGCAAAATAGTACCTTCGCTCGTACCCCCCACCCTGCCCTGCAAACAGGGCGCTGGGAAGGGCTGATGAGCTTCACAGAATCTTGTGAAGGAAGTGACTTATGACCTACATATATACATGTATATATAAAGCGTCTGGCTGCAGCTGTTCAAGACTGCAGTTAGACAATGCGCGCAAATGCTATCCGAAAACTTCCAATAGAAATGCACATATTCCATACTGGATGTGATTTCTTTTTCATTGCGGACTACGTGAACAAATTTTGAGCATCGCATAATGCAATCGTCATTGACCCTTCGTGAATTTGAAACGGAACCTGAGCAAGTGACGGGATCGGAATCGCAAATTTACAACACAGATAAGTTTTACAGATTTTTCTACATTATAACGCTCTTCAACGAAAACAAAAGCATTTATGAATTGGAATAAAAGCGTAATGAATCAGTCTTAACGGCCATTTGAAACCTTGCAGGGTCGTGGCCGTGATGACTTGCAGGTCACAGGTCACGCAAAATCTATCTAATCAGAGCGTGAATTCATCAGCCCTTCCCATTGTCCTGTTTGCAGGGCGGGGGGTACGAGCGAAAAATAGTACCCACCTTGTCTGTACAATCCAAGCTTGAAAAAAAAAAAAAAACGCATCACCTCATCAATTCTGGAAAATTGGTCTGACCAGTGACCAACTTTGAACAATTGGTATTGTTACTTGTTTTCAATTGTACATGTATGGTTGCTGTAAATAGCAGTGATGTTGTATGGTTTTAGTTAACACTCGAGTTTCGAGTTAAGGGATATGGAGTGCACATGTACAAGTCGAGTTGAATGATTCACCAAGGAAAGGATCGACCTGAAACAAAATAAACTGACTTAGTAAATTCAGTGTATGAAAAAAATGATGATTCCGGGGGCTGTGCCTGTGGCCAAATTTCATGGCATCTGCCATTTTAAGACCGCCGGCTACATTGTACGGTACATTGACCTCCAGCTGAGCATCGGAGCTAGAGTGTCTCAAGCTAATCGCTAGGGCCTACTTTTGGAAGAAAATCTGGAAAAAAATGTTGCAACCTGATACAACTGTTTTCTTCATATATCATCTCATTAAGGTCATTCATTGCAGAAATTATAAGACATGAATCTGGCACTGAGAAATATTTCCAATTTTGTTGGGAAATACTTAGAAAATTTGGAAAGAATGTTGCAACCTGACGCTACCTCAGCAGTTGTGTACAAAGTCTATTGAGAGTCAAGACAATTTTGTAAGTATTTCCTAACAAAATTGCAAATGTTTCTCAGTCCCAGATTCATGTCTTACCATCATTTTTGCAATGACTGACCCTCGTCATGTTCGTTGAGATGATATATGGTCATTCCGTGTCAATTCAACACAATTTTGGACCCGACCCTCACAGACTGAAACGATATTTGGTGTGATGATTGGCCTATATGAGAAACCCCCAGAACTGATTTTTTTTTTTGTAAATTGGCTCCTAAGTTTTTGAGATAGTGGTCAACGAACTTTTGACTAATAAGCATGACCTCCCAACTTTAAATACTTGTATTTCAAAAACTATAGCGCCTACAAAGCCAAGTTGTACATCATATTAAAGCTCTTTGAATGGCCTCCATTTCATAAATAAAAACCAAAATCGTAGCATGAAGCGCAGAGAAAATGCGTAACGAAATGACCTTTGACCTTGAATTACGAATATCAATATGCTTTAAATTTCGTAATTTTTTTTCATTCAAATGTTAGTTTATGATGCTAGCAACAATCTTAAAAAAAATGTGGGATGGGCGCTCTTAAAGTTTTTAAGTGAAGATTTTTCAAAGATAGCATGTCTAGGAAAAAACGAGCGCGCGATGATGCACTGTGTGTTGGACCGGCAATGGGCCGGCAATGAGCTTCGTTTTACGGTAGGAGATTTCGGTGAAACATGCTGCATCGTTTCACTTCATAGTACTTCCTCGAAATAAATTCATGAACACGGAAAATACATACACAGACGAGAGAGATCAAGTTCTGTGAATATAAGCACTAGACTGACACTGAAATCACTAGACCCAGTCCATGGTTGGGTAATCCTTACTTTTAGGACACCTCTTTTTTTTACGAGTTCTGTTCAAAACTGACTTTTGCAGATGTCTGTCCAGTACCAAAGTGACTTTTGCAGGCTAAAGCAGTCTTTTTTCTTCATATTAACTCATGTTAGTTGTAATTTTGAAAGCACTTTCAAAGAAAATGTGACTTTCCTACCTTTTTTCGCAGTCAGACGTGCATGTTGTAGTTCTCACAACACAGTAAGCCCTACATAATGAAAGCCCGATGCTGATTGGCTGCTAAAAAAAAAAAATAAGATGTTTATTTTTTATCAGCCAATCAGCATCGAGCTTTCATCGCATCGAGCTTTCACATTTGCCATCTTGGTTTTTGAGTCTGTTTTCTGGTTGTCATCGTCGTCTTTTACCCCTGAATTTCCCTCATAAATCAAAGCCCTGCCCTCTTTTCACAAAATTAAACCTGCTGATATTCAAGAAGGTATCATTGCCAATTGTTCAGATGTGCCAAGAAGTATCAGAATGTCAATTTTGAGTGTCATTTAGTCAACTGTTTTGGTGAGTCTTTCCCTTCTTATAGGAATGGGGTCCTAAAAGTAAGGATTACCCATGGTTGCAACATGTTTTCCGAAAGTGCAATCAAAACCAAATAAAATTGGAGTATAACATAAAAAAAAATTCAACACTGGTAACCTCACATCTATATCAAAACACTGACAATGACACGTACGTATGATCATGATGCAACACAAAGTAAATGTAAAATAAATACATGTACGGCTATGCAAACACGTTATAAAATGCCGGGCCTGCCGGCGCCGCATATACCGGTATCTGGTACACATGTAGGCTACTGATGTAAATGGGCACTATTTACACGGTGTCTGACACGTGTTTACGTGGCACATTTTTATTCAGTATGGGAATGTCCACCAAACGATAAAGAGACACTTACCGACTGGAGGGTTTTCAAAACTAGCACAAAGCTTCATCGCCATCTCAGGTATGTCAGGGTGTTACTGCTCAAACTCGTTTGCCTTTGCGAAGTTGAAAAAGATCAATGTTTGACAGCACAATTTGCTCGGAATTCCCTTCCGACTTTCATCATCCACATGCCGGTATAATGCAATGGCGCCCTCTATTGAAAGCCTTTGTACAGCTAAATTTAGCGGCATGCATGATGCAACCATTTGAAAACAATTAGTTGCGACAGAGCTATATTAAATTTAATATAGCTCTATGGACATTACCTGTAGTTGCATCAATCATTTTAAACAGAGCTATTGACGACCTAATTTAATGTTTGAGTTTGGATGTAGCCAGTGCCCGGGGGCGATAACAAGGTGGGGATACGTGCATCTCCAGTAAAAAAAAATACATCATTTTGGTAAATGAAACAAAAATTTATTAAGAAGTCTACTTCACCATTGTCGGACTGTGTGACTTGACTGACGTATAATAAAGGATTCAGATTCCAGACTCGAAGTTTTTTGTCTTTTTTAAATTAAGTGATTTTCTGTGCGTCTATGGTGGCAGAGAATAGGACAGTGGGGATTCCACCCCATGCACGTATTATTAAAGTTAAACCCGCACTTCCTAACTGCCGACTAGGCCTAGGCTACCGGCTAGCACTGAGTAGGAACTTCATAGTGCTGGTCGCAAAGGGTGGCAAAGTGAAAAGTCACGTGTCATCGTCAGTCCCCCCCCCCCCCCCCCTATTCTGCTCTGACGGGGAAAAAAATAAAAGTCGAGCCTCCAACGCCAAGATCGATGATCTGAGAACGGCGCTCAACCGACTTGGCTAACGGCTCAAACTTACCAAGCCGGAAATGTATGTAAACCTCCAGTTGCAAACGGTGGTGACGTCAAAAGTCAACCCCCCCCCCCCCCAGACGGAAAAAAATTAGTGTCGTTGGTGACAACCTGGGGCTCCAACGGGTTCGAACCTCCAACCCCAAAAATGATGTTCAGAAAACTGCACTCTACAGAGTTGGCTACCTGCTCGCAAATTACTTAGCCCGAAATTTATATAGGCCTAATTCCGGTTGCAAAGGGTGGTGACGTCAAAAGTCAAGTGCGGTCATCAGTCCCCCCCCCCCCCTCTTTAACCCCTCTGCCTTGACGGAAAACAATATTGTCGTTAGTGACAACCTTGAGCTCGAACCGCCAAGCCCAAGACTGATGATGTGAGAACGGCACTCTACCGACTGGGCGACCGTCTCGCACTTAAAAAGTTGGGAATTTAAAATATATTTGAACCTCCGGTTGCAAAGGGTGGTGACGTCAAAAGTCACATGTCGTCATCAGTCACCCTCCTCACCCCTTCCGCTCTGAAAAAAACAAAATGTCGAACGTGACAACCTGGGGCTCGAACCACCAACCCCTCGATCGAAGATCTGAAAACACTAGGCTACCGGCTCGCACTTACAATGTCATGAATTTATAATGTACATTGTATTATGAACCTCCGGTTGCAAAGGGTGGTGACGTCAAAAGTCACGTGTCGTCATCAGTCACCCTCCTCACCCCTCCGCTCTTTCGAAAATGGGGCTCGAACCACCAACCCCTCAATTGACGATCTGAGAACGGCACTCGCCTCGCACTTAAAAGTTGGGAATTTATAATATTTACGAACCTTCGGTTGCTAGGGATGGTGACGTCAAAAGTCACGTGTCGTCATCGATCCCCCTCCCCCCCCCCCCCTGCTCTGACGGAAAAAAAAATAACTGTCGTAGATGACAACCTGGGGCTCGAACCACCAACCCCGCGATTGAAGATTTGAGAACGGCACTCTAGCGACTGAGCTACCGGCTCACAGGTGAAATGTTTTGAATTTATAATATATATGAACCTCAGGTTGCAAAGGGTGGTGACGTCAAAAGTCGTGTGTCGTCATCAATCCCTCATCCCGGCCCCTCACGAAAAACATTTATGTCGTAGATGACAACCTGGGGCTCCAACCACCAACCCCGCGATTAAAGATTTGAGAACGGCACTCTAGCGACTGAGCTACCGGCTCGCAAGGGTGGTGACGTCAAAAGTCACGTGTCGTCATCAATCCCTCACCTCCGCTCTGTCGAAAAGAAATAAATGTCGCAAATGACAACCTGGGCCTCGAACCACCAACCCCGCGATTGAATATCTCAAAACGGCACTCTACCGACTGAGCTTCCGGCGCGCACTTGAAATGTTTTGAAATATAATATATATGAACCTCACGTTGCAAAGGGTGGTGACGTCAAAAGGCAAATGTCGTCATCAATCCCTCACCCTGCCCCCTAACGAGAACGGCACTCTAGCGACTGAGCTACCGGATCGCAGTTGAAATGTTTTGAATTTAAAATACATATGAACCTCAGGTTGCAAAGGGTGGTTACGTCTAAAGTCACGTGTCGTCATCAATTGCTCACCCCGCCCCCTTTGCTCTCTCGAAAAAAAAATTAATGTCGAAGATGACAACCCGGGGATCGAACCACCAACCCCGCGATTGCATATCTGAGAATGGCACTCTACCGACTGAGCTACCGGCTCGCAGTTGCAATGTTTTCAATTTATAATATATATGAACCTCAGGTTGCAAAGGGTGGTTACGTCTAAAGTCACGTGTCGTCATCAATCCCTCACCCCGCCCCCTCGAAAAAAACTGTCGCAATTGACAACTTGGGGCTCGAACCACCAACCCCGCGATTGAAGATCTGAGAATGGCACTCTACCGACTGTGCTACCGGCTCACACTTGAAATGTTTTGAATTTAAAATACATATGAACCTCAGGTTGCAAAGGGTGGTGGCGTAAAAAGTCACGTGTCGTCATCAATTGCTCACCCCGCCCCCTTTGCTCTCTCGAAAAAAAAAATTAATGTCGAAGATGACAACCGGGGATCGAACCACCAACCCCGCGATTGCATATCTGAGAATGGCACTCTACCGACTGAGCTACCGGCTCGCAGTTGCAATGTTTTGAATTTAAAATATATATGAACCTCAGGTTCCAAAGGGTGGTGACGTCAAAAGTCACGTGTCGTCATCAATCCCTCACCCCGCCCCCTCGAAAAAAACTGTCGCAATTGACAACTTGGGGCTCGAACCACCAACCCCGCGATTAAAGATCTGAGAATGGCACTCTACCGACTGAGCTACCGGCTCGCACTTGAGAGGTTTTGAAATTTAATATATATGAACCTCAGGTTGCAAAGGGTGGTGACGTCAAAAGTCACGTGTCGTCATCAATCCCTCACCCCGCCCTTTCGAAAAAAAAATGTCCCAAATGACAACCTGGGGCTCGAACCACCAACCCCGCGATAGAAGATCTGAAAATGGCACTCTACCGACTGAGCTACAGGCTCGCACTTGGAAATGTTTTGAATTTATAATATATATGAACCTCAAGTTGCAAAGGGTGGTGACGTCAAAAGTCACGTGTCGTCATCAATCCCTCACCCCGCCCCCTCCGGTCTGTCGAAAAAAACAATGTCGCAAATGACAACCTGGGGCTCGAACCACCAACCCCGCGATGGAAGATCTGAGAATGGCACTCTACCGACTGAGCTACCGGCTCGCAAATGAAATGTTTTGAATTCATAATATATATGAACCTCAAGTTGCAAAGGGTGGTGACCTCAAAAGTCACGTGTCGTCATCAATCCCTCACCCCGCCCCTTCCGCTCTGTCGAAAAAAAACAATGTCGCAAATGACAACCTGGGGCTCGAACCAGCAACCCCGCGATTGAAGATCCGAGAATGGCACTCTACCGACTGAGCTGCCGGCTCGCACATGAAATGTTTTGAATTTATAATATATATGAACCTCAGGTTGCAAAGGGTAGTGACGTCAAAAGTCACGTGTTGTCATCAATCCCTCACCCCGCCCCCTCCGCTCTCTCGAAAAAAAATAAATGTCGCAGATGACAACCTGGGGCTCGAACCACCAACCCCGCGATTGAATCTGAGAATGGCTCTCTACCGACTGAGCTACCGGCTCGCACTTGAAATGTTTTGAAGTATAATATATATGAACCTCAGGTTGCAAAAGGTGGTGACGTCAAAAGTCACGTGTCGTCACCAATCCCTCACCCCGACCCCTCCGCTCTGTCGAAAAAAAAAGTCCCAAATGATAACCTGGGGCTCGAACCACCAACCCCGCGATTGAAGATCTGGGAATGGCACTCTACCGACTGAGCTACCGGTTCGCACTTGAAATGTTTTGAATTTATAATATATATGAACCTCAGGTTGCAAAGGGTGGTGACGTCAAAAGTCACGTGTCGTCATCAATCCCTCACCCCGCCCCCTCGAAAAAAATTGTCGCAATTGACAACCTTGGGCTCGAACCACCAACCCCGCGATTAAACATCTGAAAATGGCATTCTACCGACTGAGCTACCGGCTCGCACTTGAAATGTTTTGAAGTATAATATATATGAACCTCAGGTTGCAAAGGGTGGTGACGTCAAAAGTCACGTGTCGTCATCAATCCCTCACCCCGCCCCCTCCGCTCTGTCGAAAAAAATAATAAATGTCGCAAATGACAACCTGGGGCTCGAACCAGCAACCCCGCGATTGAAGATCCCAGAACAGCACTCTACCGACTGAGCTACCGGCTCGAACTTGAAATGTTTTGAATTTATAATATATATGAACCTCAGTTTGCAAAGGGTAGTGACGTCAAAAGTCACGTGTTGTTATCAATACCTCACCCCGCCCCCTACGCTCTGTCGAAAAAAAATAAATGCCGCAAATGACAACCTGGGGCTAGAACCACCAACCCCGCGATTGAATCTGAGAATGGCTCTCTACCGACTGAGCTACCGGCTCGCACTTGAAATGTTTTGAAGTATAATATAAATGAACCTCAGGTTGCAAAGGGTTGTGACGTCAAAAGTCACGTGTCGTCATCAATCCCTCACCCCGCCCCTTCCGCTATATCGAAAAAAACAACGTCGCAGATGACAACCTGGGGCTCGAACCAGCAACCCTGCAATTGAAGATCCGAGAATGGCACTCTACCGACAGAGCTACCGGCTCGCACTTGAAATGTTTTGAATTTATAATATATATGAACCTCAGGTTCCAAAGGGTAGTCGCGTCAAAAGTCACGTGTTGTCATCAATCCCTCACCCCGCCCCCTCCGCTCTGTCGAAAAAA